TTACAGAAACCTGGTTGCAGCAGGATGATTATGTTAGTTTAAATGAATCAACACCCCCGAGTCATTCTAACTACCAGAAACCCCGAAGCACAGGCCGAGGGGCGGTGTGGCAGCAATTTTTCACACCAGCCTATTAATCAACCAAAGACCAAGACAGACTTTTAATTCATTTGAAAGCCTGATGCTTAGCCTCGTCCACCCCAGCTGTAAAACTCAGAAACCAGTCTTACTTGTTATCATCTATCGTCCACCTGGGCCTTACACAGAGTTTCTGTCTGATTTCTCAGACTTTATATCTAATTTAGTTCTGAGCTCAGATAAAATAATTATTGTGGGTGATTTTAACATCCATGTAGATGCTAAAAATGACAGCCTCAACATGGCATTTAATCTGTTATTAGACTCAATTGGTTTCTCTCAAAATGTAAAAGAACCCACCCACCACTTTAATCACACTCTAGATCTTATTTTAACATATGGCATAGACACTGAACATTTACCAGTGTTTCCTGAAAACCCTCTCCTGTCTGATCATTTCCTGATAACATTTACATTTACAATAATTGATTACACAGCGGTGGAGAGTAGACTTTATCAAAGTAGATGTCTTTCTGAAAGCGCTGTAGCTAAGTTTAAGAATGTAATCCACCCACTGTTATCATCTTCAATGCCCTGTACCAACACAGAGCAGAGCAGCTATCTGAACGCTACCCCAACAGAGGTCGATTATCTTGTTAATAATTTCACCTCCTCACTACGTACGACTCTGGATACTGTAGCTCCTGTGAAAACTAAGGTCTCTAATCAGAAGTACCTGACTCCGTGGTATAATTCTCAAACACGTAGCCTAAAGCAGATGACTCATAATCTGGAGAGGAAATGGCGTGTCACAAATTTAGAGGGTCATCATTTAGCCTGGAGAAATAGTTTGCTGCTTTATAAGAAAGCCCTCCACAAAGCCAGAACATCTTACTATTCATCACTGATTGAAGAAAATAAGAACAACCCCAGGTTTCTCTTCAGCTCTGTAGCCAGGCTGACAAACAGTCGGAGCTCTGTTGAGCCAACCATCCCTTTAACGTTAACTAGTAATGACTTCATGAACTTCTTCACAAATAAAATTCTTATCATTAGAGAAAAAATTACCAGTAATCATCCCACAGATGTAATATTATCTACAGCTACTCTTAGTACCATTGATGTTAAGTTAGACTCTTTTTCTCCAATTGATCTTTCTGAGTTAACTTCAATAATTACTTCCTCCAAACCATCAACGTGTCTTTTAGACCCCATTCCTACAAAACTGCTCAAAGAAGTCCTGCCATTAATTAATTCTTCGATCTTAAATATGATCAACCTATCTCTAATAATCGGCTATGTACCACAGGCCTTCAAGCTAGCTGTAGTTAAACCTTTACTCAAAAAGCCATCTCTAGACCCAGCAGTCTTAGCTAATTATAGGCCAATCTCCAACCTTCCTTTCATATCAAACATCCTTGAAAGAGTAGTTGTCAAACAGCTAACAGATCATCTGCAGAGGTTTATTTGAAGAGTTTCAGTCAGGTTTCAGAGCTCATCACAGCACAGAAACAGCTTTAGTGAAGGTTACAAATGATCTTCTTATGGCCTCTGACAGTGGACTCATCTCTGTGCTTGTCCTGCTAGACCTCAGTGCAGCGTTCGATACTGTCGACCATAATATCTTATTAGAGCGATTAGAACATGCTGTAGGTATTACAGGTACTGCACTGTAGTGGTTTGTATCATATCTATCTAATAGACTCCAGTTTGTACATGTAAATGGAGAGTCCTCTTCACACACTGAGGTTAATTATGGAGTTCCACAGGGTTCAGTGCTAGGACCAATTCTGTTTACATTATACATGCTTCCCTTAGGCAGCATCATTAGAAGACATAGCATACATTTACACTGCTATGCAGATGACACCCAGCTCTATCTGTCCATGAAGCCAGATAACACACACCAATGAGTTAAACTGCAGGAATGTCTTAAAGACATAAAGACCTGGATGGCCGCTAACTTTCTGCTTCTTAATTCAGATCAAACTGAGGTTATTGTACTCGGCCCTGAAAATCTTAGAAATATGGTATCTAAGCAGATTCTTACTCTGGATGGCATTACCTTGGCCTCCAGTAACACTGTGAGGAACCTTGGAGTCATTTTTGACCAGGACATGTCCTTCAACGCACATATTAAACAAATATGTAAGACTGCGTTCTTCCATTTGTGCAACATCTCTAAAGTTAGAAATATCCTGTCTCAGAGTGACGCTGAAACACTAGTTCTTCCATTTATTACTTTCAAACTGGACGACTGTAATTCATTATTATCAGGAAGTCCTAAAAACTCCCTGAAAAGCCTTCAGCTAATCCAAAATGCTGCAGCAAGAGTACTGACAGGGACTAGAAAGAGAGAGCAGATTTCTCCTGTATTGGTTTCCCTTCATTGGCTTCCTGTTAAATCCAGAATTCAAAATCCTGCTCCTCACATACAAGGTCTTAAATAATCAGGCCCCATCTTATCTTAATGACCTTGTAGTACCAGATCACCCTATTAGAGCACTTCGCTCTCGCTCTGCAGGCTTACTTGTTGTTCCTAGAGTATTTAAAAGTAGAATGGGAGGGAGAGCCTTCAGTTTTCAGGCCCCTCTTCTGTGGAACCAGCTTCCAGTTTGGATTCAGGAGACAGACACTATCTCTACTTTCAAGATTAGGCTTCAAACTTTCCTTTTTGCTAAAGCATATAGTTAGGGCTGGACCAGGTGACCCTGAATCCTCCCTTAGTTATGCTGCAATAGACGTAGGCTGCGGGAGATTCCCATGATGCATTGAGTTTTTCCTTTCCAGTCACCTTTCTCACTCACTATGTATTAATAGACCTCTCTGCATTGAATCATATCTGTTATTAACCTCTGTCTCTCTTCCACAGCATGTCTTTATCCTGTCTTCCTTCTCTCCCCCAACCAATCACAGCAGATGGCCCGCCCTCCCTGAGCCTGGTTCTGCCGGAGGTTTCTTCCTGTTAAAGGGAGTTTTTCCTTCCCACTGTCACCAAAGTGCTTGTTCATAGGGGGTCATATGATTGTTGGGTTTTTCTCTGTATCTATGAAGCGCCTTCAGGCGACTTTTGTTGTGATTTGGCGCTATATAAATAAAATTGAATTGAATATGTTTTTTTCTATGGAGGTGATACACACATCCAGATGACACAAATCAACTAGTTTAACTACAGGCATCCATAACTTGCTACTTTTAAATTCTGAGAACTCTGAGTTTATTGCACTTTGGCCTAAAAATCTTCTATTTCTTCATTTCCATTTAATACTTGTACAGCTGCTGTTATTGTATATTTATATTTGTATTTCTTCATACATTCTTAAATATTTCTATACTGTGTATTTTGTTGTACAGTTATTTTATTTTCAACTTTAACTTATATATTTTATCTTCTTTCCCAGTTAAATTTACCCTTCATTCTAATTTGTGTTGTACAGTTATTTCAGTTTTATATTTTATTTTATTCCATCCTAGTTAAATTTACCCTTTTTAATTTTCATATTTATGTCTCCGGTTCTGTTCATAATTTTTATGGACAGGATTTCTAGGCGCAGCCAAGTGGCGGAGGGCTTTCGCTTTGGTGGCCTCAGAATCTCATCTCTGATTTTTGCAGATGATGTGGTTCTGTTGGCTTCATCGGGTGAGGGCCTCCAGCTCGCACTGGAACGGTTCGCAGCCGAGTGTGAAGCAGCAGGAATGAGGATCAGCACCTCCAAATCTGAGGCCATGGTTCTCAGCCGGAAAGGGTGGAGTGCCCACTCCGGGTCGGGGATGAGTTCCTGCCACAAGTGGAGGAGTTCAAGTATCTCGGGGTCTTGTTCGCGAGTGATGGGAGAAGGGAGCCGGAGATCGACAGACGGATTGGGGCTGCAGCTGCAGTAATGCGGACGCTGCACCGGTCCGTCGTGGTGAAGAGGGAACTGAGTGTAAAAGCGAAGCTCTCAATTTACCGGTCGATCTACGTCCCTACCCTCACCTATGGCCACGAGCTGTGGGTAGTGACCGAAAGAACGAGATCGCGGATACAAGCGGCAGAAATGAGCTTCCTCCGAAGGGTGGCTGGCCCCTCCCTTAGAGATAGGGTGAGAAGTTCGGCCATCCGGGAGGGGCTCAGAGTAGAGCAGCTGCTGCTCCACATCGAAAGGAGTCAGCTGAGGTGGTTCGGGCATCTGACAAGGATGCCCCCTGGGCGCCCCCTGGGTGAGGTGTTCCAGGCATGTCCACCGGAGGAGGCCCGGGGCAGACCCAGGACACGCTGGAGAGATTATATCTCTCGGCTGGCCTGGGAACGCCTTGGTATTCCCCGGATAAGCTGGAGGAGGTGGCTGGGGAGAGGAGGTCTGGGCCTCTTTGCTTAGGCTGCCCCCCGCGACCCGGCCCCGGACAAAGCGGATGAAGATGGATGGATGGATGGATTTATTTCCTATCCTATTCATAGCCTTTTCTTTTTTTCTTTAGGTCACGAGCAGTTGTGTAAGCATTTCACTGCATATCGTACTGTGTATGACTGTGTGTGTGACAAATAAAATTAGAATTTTTAAACATGATCTCTAATGAGTCTCTCTCTTGCAAGCAGGTAAAGCACTGCATGTGTTATATAACTATCTGTGAAACTGAAAAGAAAAACTCTACTCCTCCAAAGGAGAAATTCATTAGTTACAACAGGATAACAAGATTAGAATTTCAGCTGTTACAAAGAGTATTTGTAGCAACATTTTTGACTGACATGAGATAAATACTTTATTTAACCAATAAGCAATACACATGCAAAACAAAATAAGCAACAGCCAGTGTAACCTCTACTAAAACTTTGCTCAAGATTAGCAAGCAACTGAGTCTAAAAGTGGTGACTTCCTGGCATGAAATATATTTTATTTTATAATATTATTATATTTCAAAATTATACATGTCACACACACACATCTTAGACTTCGGTGTTTTATTGAGGAACAATAAATATCAGTAGAGAGCAGTCAGTCCCAACGCTGGCATGAAGTGTGACTACTAGGGTGGATGGTCATCTTCCACACGTCGTTTCTGGTGCTGCCAGAAAAATAGTCCGTACATAAAGACGTCCAGGAAGAGGTGGAGGAATCCATGTCTGTGCTTTGGAGCTGTCAATAGTCCCACAGGTTAATCAGCAGGGGCACATGAAGGAGAAATAGTGGTTACTTTAAAGGTGCTTAGGACGCATCGACTTACTCCACAGGTTTGTCCACCATAAAACACCAGTGCTGCTGTCAGCCAGTCAAAGTCAATATAAATTAAAAACACAGGAAGGCAGGATGCCCATCACATACTCCGTTCTGGAAACAGCAGAAATGCAACCGTGTCCACATTTTGTCGTAACAAAGCAGATAAACTCCCCTGCTATTTGTAATCCATTAGAGTGCCACATGAATACAGCTTAAATGACAGCGTGCGTTGACAATATGTACACCTGAAAGTATCCATTTAGCAACAGGCAACACAAAACTGCTAATGCTGCAAAAGTTCAAAGATAGGACATCTGCCCAAGATACACATTTCCAAACATTTTACTCTCTGCTGCCAAACATATTTACATTTTGAGCGCATTTAGAGGAGGTGAAACACAAATATGGCGCGTCCCTTCATGACACATTTATGGACCACAGAAAACAAGGTTAACAATTCTAATTGTGAAATTCATCCATTTATGCCAAGTCTGCAGTTTACATAAAAACCCCTTTAAACAATTAAAGAACATTTAGCTTAGCATAGGCTAGTTTGCTTTATTACAAAAAATAAAATCTAGATTTTAAACAGTGTATAAACAGCCAGTGCTACTGCGGCTGTTACACAGGGACTAAAAACGTAACCTGTGACTGGCTTGAAGTGGGACTTTACGGGAATCATGACACACACACAAGCATGAAAGTTGTTAAGACCATAAACCTGCTACTTCTCGCTTCCTATGCTAATTGGTGACAAATGGGTGCTATTACACTCAGTCTTGTTTATAGAAACGTGAAGTAAACGTTCTAAAATTTCAGCTTATTCCTGATGTTTGATATGAATGCAGTAAAAAGCTGAACTGTGTATACTGATTATTGTTTTTGAAAGAACCGTTTTGTTGTTTTGTGGAAAAGTTTAATAACTGCCAGGACTTTAATTCATTAATGTTATACTTGAATTAATTTCTGTCGTATATTGTTAATGTGTCAGGTATCTCCATAGTGTAGGAGTTCACACTTTTGGCCCACACACGCTGGTTTCAAGGAAAAGGCATAAATCAGCTGAAATTCATTTTTCATTCTTAGATGAGCCTGTGTGTTACAGTTTAGCTGTTATTTAGTTGTTGAAACTGGCAAACTGGCAAGAAATCCTACATGAATTTGTGTGTAGGCAGATGGTGTAATTGTGTTTGTAAGGCACACAGCCTTAAAACCTGATCTTACATGCGCACATCTGTGAAGTGAGACATAGATGTATAATGTAGGTAGGAATGTTAGCCACAGGTTAAACTCTTAACACTGAGTCTGTCATTGTGTCAGTGATCCCTCAGTCTCTTCATGGCATCGTACTCTTTCCGTGCACAAAAGCATTGTTGCTCACGCTAACAACAGTTAGGTTGATGCTACTATAACCAACAGTTACAGGTAAGATAATGCATCTACTCGTACCAACTGAAGGGGGCTATGCTACACACAGCTGTTACATGTCTGCTGCTACAGCTATGTCTCTATGCTGTCATTTCAGCATGCACTCAATTTTTTGTTTTTCTTCCAAGCAGCCATATTTCAGTACACTAAGAGAATCAATAAGGCAGAAAGATGCTGTGATTCATATCAGCAACGACAATCCTGCAGCCTAGAAAAGACCTTAAAGCAAAAACAATATAGAAAGTATTTTCATGCTCAATCATCAAGGTAAGGAAATCCCAAAAAGTGGATTCTGTTCATCTGGACGTTTCGTCACTCATCCAAGTGACTTCTTCAGTCGTACGCTTGGCCACCGCTACGTCCAGATGAACAGTTTTTGGGAATATAAAAAAGTAGTTCCCTCAAACATGACAGTGAATAACTGCTTTGCAAAAGTCTTTTTGGAACAGATTTTTGACTTGCAGCTTGAGTTTAATGTGAGCAGGAAGCCAAACAGTCATTTTCCAAGTGTACTGAAATAACAAATACATGGAAGGCAGGAAGTGCTTCTAAAAGCTGATATGTCTGCAGAAACCTGTGCACTGTGATGAACAGCATTAGTTCATCAAGTAAAAAACTACAGATCCTTGGTCTGACCTTTTGTTTAAATAGTCTTTGAAATTCACAGGAAGAGTGGAAATACTGCATGCAAGCTCATGGGTCACCCACAAATTTTAACGTCTCTCATGAAGAATCAAGCAACATGAGAACATGTGGAACTTATTGCTTTGGTTTCCAAATTGTCCTTTCAATTTAATGTCCTCCAAACCTTATCATCCATCTAATCACAAGGCCAAGGAGCTAACAGTTAGACGGACAGAGTGAACTGAAGAGGAGGACAGAAAATTAACCAAAGTCCTGTGGAGCTAAAGGTTGATGCCTTTGACCAGTGAGGCTTCCAGTGTGATGGAGAAGTCGTGCAGTGTCTCAAGGACGCTTATAAGGGTATTGAGAGTGGAAGGGTCTCTGAGCATTGCTGTGTCCTCATACATCTGCAGGATCACTGGACATTCCACGAGCAGGGGGAGCCACTGGGGCAGCAGGCGGTCTCTGTGGGGCCAACAGTGATCAGAATTATTAAAACTTCACAGTTTATCGCATTTTAAATTTCAATTTTTAATTCAATTTAGTTTTTAAAAAATGTTAGTTTCAGTTTGGTTTGATTATTTTTATTCATTATTGTAGCATTATGTCACAAGATAAAGCGCCTCGAGGTGACTGTTGCTATATAAACACAACTGAACTGAATTAGCTTCAGTTTGAGTTGCTACACAAAGCCTCCCATTGCTGAGGTGACAATCCTGACCACACTGACAGAGACTCAACCCAAGGACATCTCCTAATTATTGTTTAGTTTGGTTTTAGTTGAACGCACAATATGATTTGGTTTAGTCTTATTCAAGAGTCCAGTTTAATTTTAATTTCAGTGAACAATGTTTTTCTGCATACCGACAGTAGTGTTAGCTTTAGTTTTATTAACTGTAATAATGAGACAGACAATTTAATATGTGTAGTGTATAGTAAATGTGTGTGCTTATGCTATGAACAATATGTAAGTAAACAGTCTGTGTCAGTTAAACGGAGTAAGAGTTAAATCGACTTAAATGTTAATCAGTGGTGAGACTGCAGATTTTCAACAGGACTAAAAAGATAAGCAATGTGGATTACTGGGTCTGGTATTGAGATGAAGCATGACAGGTGGAATATCCGGAGGCTCAACACAGGGCCGGCAATGAAGACAGAGACTTGGGAAAGAGGCCAGAAGAAGACAAGTTGAAGCCCCTCTGGAGAACAAATGAAACCCTCAGGAGTCTTGAGAGCAGGCTGTCCATAAGAAGACAGAACAGGAGCCCAGCAATGAAGACGGTGGACTACCAGAGATGACTTGGCCAGCGATGGTGAGGCAAGACAGGGAAGCAGCAGCTACGGCAGAGGCCATCTGGTGGCCCAACAGGAGGCCAGCAATGCTTGGGAGGAGGCCGAAGACAAGGAGAAAGGCCGGGAGACTAACGGCTGAGGGAAAGCCGAGCTGGTAGCTGAATTTAAAGCAACTGATGGTGAAGCACAACAATCTGCTAGTTTTGAAAGTAGCAGCCATCTGGCTCAGACAACATGGGACCCTCTGGCTCAGCTTCTGGCTGCTCATGTTCAGCCTGTGCAGGACCCACTGAAGGCTCTGGTGACTGGGAATGTGCAGAATCCACTGAAGGTTCCTTCTAGGATCTATGCCCAATGAAGAGGATCGGCTCCCTGGCTCAAAGTACTATATCATCTCAAAGGAGCACTTTGCGCTTAGACTGTGGGATTTCTTTTAGTTCCTAGGGCATTAAAAGTAGAATGGGAGGCAGAACCCTCAGCTTTCAGTTTGGATTCAGGAGAAAAGCAGGTTTTCTACTTAGATTAAGCTTAAAACTTTCCTTTCTCATGAAGGTTGTAGTTGGGGCTGTATCAGGTGACCCTTCTTTAATTATGCTGCACTAGGCCTAGGCTCCTAGGGGCTTCCCATGATACATTGTGCCTTCCTTCTTCACTCACCATGTATTTATACACCACTTTGCATTTAATTATCATTAACTTCTGCCACAGTGAAGAGAAACAAAGAAAAAAAGAAAACAAGCCAAGTGTCACCTGTGGCCTGTGACTCAGTGTTTGTGTGCTTTAGTTATATTCTTTAATTATTGTAATTCGTGGGTTTTGGTTCTGCTGTGTTATATTTTTAGTCCTATGGTTTTGGTTTCTGTCATTAGGCTGTCTCGTGTTCCTCGTCTTGTCACACTCGTCCTCGTGTTCCCTCTGTCTTCCCGGTCAGCCATGTCTCTCTGTCTCAGTGTCAAGTCCACATCTTTGTTATACCTGTTTTATTTTGGCGGTCCCTCGTCTCATGTCAATGTATCTAGTTTTGCTTCCTTTGTCTCGTTCTAGCTAGTTAATCCCAGCTGTGTTTCCCTCCCATTTCCCACTCTGATCACTCTGGTGTGTATTTAAGCCCTGTGTTTTCTTTGCTTTGTGTCGTGGCGTACCCTCACCATGCTGGTGGTTTCCTGTCTGTGTTCATGACTAAAGCTTAGTTCATGTTTCTTAGTATTTAGTTCTTGAGTCCAGTTTAATATCTAGTTTGAGGTTTTACTTTTTTTGTTTGAATGAAAGCTGCTATTAGAGTTTCACTCTTGACGTCTGAGAGTCCTGCATTTGCTGCCAGCCACACAGCACTCGCCTCGACAGTGAGCATTTATTTTGTCCTGTCTCCCCTGCCCTAGAGGAAATCCAAGACAAATGAAAACTTCTGACCACAATCGTGACATGTTTTTAATATGTCAAATTTCTGATCGAATAATCACAAATCAAAAGATGCTATCAGAGCCCACACCTGCGCAGGAACAGCTTCCATCACAGCTCACAACATAATTTACATTAATTCGTTGTCTCCACACTGACCTGGCTCCGAGGCAGACTAACAACTGGAACTTTCCGTCCTTGCCGATGTTTCTGGAGGTGGAGTTGATCGCATTGAAGTAATGACAGAGTGACTGACAGGTCATCTTCATGGCCTCAGTGGTCTCCTGAAGGTCTCCCACCTGGTCAGCTGACTCCATGTAGGCAACAGCCTTCTCTGTAGGGTTTTAGAGGAGCATCACACACCATATCAGCTTACTTAAAGCGCTCTACTGTTGTGTAACAGCTCAACAAACTGAGAACACTAGGCTGAAGGCTATGTTACAAATTCATTTGAAAGCCCAGATTACACAAAAATAATTGTAAATGTTGTATAATCCTCTACAAACATGTATAAAAACCATGACACATGAATAAAAAGGTATTCCACATTTTTTCTTTAATCCAGTAAAACCAGTACACATTGTAACACAGTTTAGCCCTTGATTTTCTGCCATGGGCCAAACTGAACAGTTTTCCTCATCAGCAGCAGAGCGTGCCGTCTCTTCACACTCACCCACAAAGTCCCACACAAACACAGTCTTCTGGAAGAGCCTGGCAGATTTGAAGCCGTGATGGAAGAACTGTTCCAGAGCCGCGACCAAGCTATTCTCGCCGCACAGCAGAACAGTCAGACTGCCTCTCTGTGCAACACACATCAACACGTCAATGCACAAAAGCAAATGTTGATACAATGTAAGAAGTTTGACATTTAGCAAGTGACGCTGTTACTTTGTCTGTTACTTAGTACACACATGTAACGAAGCTTGCTTGTGTGGGCAGGTAACTTGGCACCCTGTCATCTAAGTGGCTTAACACTTTTTGCTAATTACACTATTCCCATGAACGTTGGAGTACCTCTAAAATTCGATTCAACAATGTGCTGTGACAGACTGTCACTGAAGAGAAATGACTACAACTTGAAAGATCATCACTCTTTCAGACTTTCTATGGTCAAAGCACAACTTTACTTATGGACACATAATGAATGCACTCCCTGATGGAAACAGGAAAACAGAACCCACACTACTCAGAATTCACAGACAGCATAGCAGTAGTTAAGCTATAAGGCACGCACTCATTTCAGAGTGCTGAAAGTCACTGACCTCTTTCTCTGGTTTGTGGAAGTGTTTGATGATGTTGTTCACTGCCTCCCCAATCCCCTCTTGGATTTGTGCTGAATTCAGCTCTAGAATGGGGAAAACATCTGCATCAGTACAGACTGCTACAGACCTCTGAACCCTGACAGCCTGAGGTAGCAACAGCTAATGTCTGTAGCTACCATCCTTCCTGGAAACGCTGCATTTTTGAGCTGCAATGGAAGTCTGAGCTTTAAACCACACTTTAAGAATTACCCATATAATTGAGTTCCTGGCAGCTTAATAAAGAGATTATCATTATTATTATAGAAGTTGATATGCCTTAAAGTTTCCAAAAAACTACTGCAGAAAGGGTTTTTAAAAAAGCATTTAATGGAAGCCTGGCAGTCTTATTTTGATGATATTATGAGATTCATTGCACATAAAAGCTCTAAAATAATTGAAACATCGATAGAGCCTTCTGAAAGTGTTTAGTGAGGTAGTGGATGACTGAGTAATTGCACACAGACCATCTTTTGTTCCTACTGTGGATAAAATCTATTTAAAATCTTGCACTTCAAATATCAGAAAGTGCGGCAAAACCTGTCAGGAAATGAAAACATTTCATTCTCAGTATTAGAGATTTCCTGTTGTGTGAGAACGCTGACAGTTACTGACTGGTATCTCGTCCGGTGAGCGATGTGATGCTGATGCGTCTGCCCTGGGAAGGTGAACGCTGTAGCGGGGGTGTACGGCAGGCCCTTGCAGAATCATCCTCTCCGCTGGGCAACACTAATTCCCCGATTAGGACCCTTTCCAGGCTGCCGTCATCCACACCCTTACCGAGCCATCGACCGCAGGGGAACCTGATGGACAACAAGGTGCTGAGGTTACACATCAACGCTCTACATCTGTTGGCATCGTTCTATTTGTTCTTCTGATTTTCAGGGGAGATATTTTATATTTGACTTGCTATCAACAAACACGCAGAATGGTTCCTACTAACTAGCACTTGGTGTGCATCAGAGGGTGATGTACTAAATGTGGTTCAGACACACAGGCGGGCGAAATCTACGCGTTTTCCATCCGTATATCGGTTTGTTCTTTCTCCACACGTCTCCGCTCTGATCTTCTCTCTTTGTCTTTCGTATGTTTTATATTTTGTATTTTTCAGTGTCTTGTTTCTTTTCTTGTCTGCTTTTTGACGTTATGAGAAACAAACAATTTAATATTTTCTCCGATTGGGTTATACAAACAAAATTGACCTCCAATATTGTCAGTGAGCCACACATTCCAGTTAATTTAACAAATGTCTCTATAATATAATATAATGCTGAATGAATATGCCTTTTTTAACTCACTAACAAGAAAAAACACTTTATTAATTTTCATTTTAAATTCATCAAAACTGCCGAGAAACAGCAAACTATTAAATGCCCAGAGTGTGACACGCGTGCGCCAGCAGTTACACTCATGACAGGACGGTTATCGGCTGCTAGCTGCACTCTTATTGGTCGTAATGTTGTCTGAGGTCTACAACAATCTAATTTGGCTGCACAGAAAAGCATGTGAGGGAAGTTTACTAAATGAGTAACAACAACAGAACAAAGACAGGTCCTCTACTCGCCTGTAGGTGTGTCCTGTGATCTCGTTCCGCACCATCACACAGTCCACCAACCATTTAGCCAGGAGGCCAGCATTATCGTGACCCAGCTGCACCGTGGTGAGCTTCCCCAGGTTCTGACACTGAACACAGAGAGCAACTAGTTAATCAATACAATATCAGATCCTACTCTCTTTCATTACTGTGCATGATATACTTGTCTGTCTCTGGTTAATTCAGTTATTTGGGCACAAACGTTTTACTTTTTATTTATTTTTTACATTTCCTTCAGCATATTTTCCTAATAGCTCCAGCAAAGACACACAGAGCACAACTTCAGTCAGCACTCATGTACGCAGGGTAAAGGAGCAACTTTGAGCAAGTCAAACACAGAAAAGAAAAGCAAGCATTTCAAAGGGATACGCTTGATGGTGGGAGATGGAGCTGTAGAGCAAGGGCTTTGCCTAACCTTGAATATGGCAGAGATGTGCGTGTGAGGCCTGAAAGCAGACTGAGGGAGATGGAAACATACGTTAAGACACAAAGAAAGGACAATAAAACTCACTCATGCATGCAAACTAGGCTTGGCTCACAGAAATCCTACTTGCATGATTTGACACTGTAAAACAAAATTGATTTATTGGAGTGCACTGCATAGAAGTGCAACTAGAGGGCAGTCTTCACATGACCTACATCACTTCATAATCGATCTTGCTTGATGGAAAATTTCTTGAGGTAAAAGGAGAATTGTTTAGGGCTTAGGAAGTAGACTGCTGTGAATGTGATGGCAGATGCTGCTGAAATTCACCACAACTGGTTCACTTTTAGAACTAAAACAGCAGCTTTAAATGCTTCTTAGTCAGGATGGGCGATAAACTCGCGCAGGCGACTTTTTTGTGAATTTATACGTTTTGTTTGCAGCGAATATTTTACTTTCTTTTCTTGTTTGTTTCAGAGTTATTATAGCTACTTTTTGGATTATTCATTTATTTAAGATGCACCAAATCGCACAAAAGACTTAACGTTACATCAAAGATTTATTTTTATGTTAGCTGGAGGAGAGATTTTTATTTTTAACTTACTTTTGTGTTTCATTTTGTATTTGTTGTTTGGTCGGGTGTGTAAGACGGATAAACACTGGAACGACCTGTAAACACAGTTACAATGGGGAAAAGAAGCCAGTTTCTTTGTTTCCCTCCCTCCATTGTGGGTTTTTAAAATGTAAATAATATAATAAAGTTTTTGGTTTTTTTAACATGAGTTTGAGGAAATGAATGGCTGAATTTGGGCGCACTCTGAGGAGGCTGCATGTGCCTGCAGATGGAAGGCAGTGCCGTTAAAACAGTGTTATTATTTTTTTCCATTGGCTCCTTCTACTGGGTTCAACCAAAATTATTAGCAAACTTACTCATGGGCGAATAAATGAATGGCTCTTGTAAAAATGATCGGCGAAAGGCTTGGCCTATCGTCGATGGTCGATGCATTCATCCACTCGCCCAACCTTAGTTCTTAAAACTGCAAAACTCGTGCAACGTGGACACAGAGCAGGAGAAATTCTCCAGAAGTTATGGGAACTAACTCTCCAGTCCAATATTGCCTATTCAAGAAATGCTGAAGCCAAGGCAAGAAGCATTTTACATATCACTTCATGTTTTGGAGCCTTGTCCCGAGACTTCTGGGATGAACTATTCTCTTTACAGCACCTTTAAGAAACACTGATTTTTGATTACTGTGGCTTTAAATAAGCTGCAGTGCACCATGTGATGTTTGACAAACAGTGACAAGGAGTGAAACATAGAAAACACAAACTCAATGCCTGCACACAACATCAGAGTGGCTGACAGCATGATCAACTTGTGGGAGGTCAAAGGTCACAGTACTCACATCAAAGGTCATTTCTAATACGTTCTTGGGGATCTGCATGATGCCCGAGTCTCCCAGTTCCCCTGAGACGCACACCCAGGGGTTGGATGTGGTCATAGCGTTGCTCAGCTTCTTGATGGGGATGATGACGACTCGGTATGGGATCACTGCAAAAAAGACAAAAAAAGCCTCACAATTTCACAGTCAGCTATTGATCCGTAGCTCTATGAATAAAGTAACTGACATTTTTACTGTAAGGCTTCAGTAGGTGGTGCAGGAGGGCTGAAGAGCTTTCCAGGAGTTTGATGTCATGCCATTATAAACAACACGACCTCATTATAAACAACAACACGACCTCTTTTCATAGAAATGCTGCTGACACACAATTTCAGTTCCAATATACGTTTATATGTGTGAGTGTATATATACAGTTCATAAAAATACACATTGATATGTGACATATTTAACAGCATGATTTGCTGTTTCCAATCACCTAAAGCTTCTCGTCTTAAAACGTTTCTTTTGTTCAAGAAAAGCATTGCTGTGGGTGGCCAGAGGTCAGAGGTTATGTGTAGCTGATGGAAAACTCACTGATGGTGGTGAAGACACTGGTGAAGCAGAAGTAGTCAACAGCATTGAGAGAGAGCAAATGGAAGAGGAACTGCTCCTTCTCCTCCTCACAGCGCAGGAAGGCGTAACGTTTGTACAGCTTCCTGTGGCGGTCAGTCAAGTCAGGTTCAGATACAGCGAAGTACATCACATCTCTCCTCATCAACATCCATGTCAAAAGTCTTTTTAGTTTGACAGTTTTTGCACCCTTAATAACTAAACAACAAAATAAAACGTTATCTTTCTAGACTAACAATTAGAGAGCCCGACCATGAAACTAGCAATGAACTGAAACGCTTCTGTTTTGTTTGAAGGGGCAAAATGGAGGCGTGCAGGGAAGCTTACAGTTATACTTCACTCAGAAATGGATGTGTGGAAGTCAAGTGGGAATGTCATTTGGCCAGATGGACCTTTTACCTCCTGTAAATGAATACAGCAGAAAAATACTCCCAGTGCTGCACTGGTGTGGCTCAGGGTGCTCACTGCTGCCCCCTGTGGCATGATCAAGCCACACAAAAAAGAGCCACTTTCTCCCACATCGTATAAAACGGAGGGTTTTCTACAACTTTGTGTCATGTGTTTTAACTGTATGCAAACCCTTACTGTGAAAACGACTGCAAAATGTATGTTTAATAGTGCACGACATGTAAATATGAAGGTGGGATTCAGTCACCAAAATGCTTACTTGGTTAAGGCTTGTCGCGACAGCAACTGTTTGAGATGCTGAGAGAGCAGCTTCTTTTCCAGGGACAGGCGAATCCAGGCTCTGGCTCGGCCAACGTCCGTCTTGATCTCTGACATACTCTGGATATGCCTGGGACAGACGGAGAAGAAGAATAACGCTGTGGTTTTAAGATGAAGGAAAAGTTATTTACTTTAACTTCACTTACAGATTTTATACATTTTCACAGATGCACCAACACGGACATACAAACTACTTGTTTACAGTACGTGCAGCGAGTATACTGTATATAATATGATGTTTAATACTAACAGGAACACCTAAACAGTGTTACTCTAGTCTACCTGTTGTAGAAGAGGCTTGGACAGTGCAAAGGACAACAAAGTCATACCTCATATCCTGAATGAGAGACACACGCAGAGAAGGCATCGCTATGGAACTATCAGACTTCCTCCTCTCAAGAAAGCGAGGCGCTACAAGGAGAGATGGATTTTTTGTTGATGCTTTAACATGTGACTGAGGCTTTCGACTGCGTGTATGTTCGTGTATGTTACCTGGTGAGTCAGCCTGCTGCGCCAGCATCTCCTCCCGGGCCTGATAGTGCAGCAGATGAGACCACAGAGCAGACTTCCCCTGAAACATCACGATCAGCATGAGAGAGCCGAGGACAGAAATGACACACATAACAGCAGTTATTGCACCGATGGATGAGGCATCACATTATACACAGACACAGAGGGAGGAACCTCAACATCTATAGCGTGTTGAAGAAACCTAACATTTGTGCAGCACTGTATATATCTTTACTTCAGTGTGTGTGCTGACCTGTTTGACCTGCAGCCCGTGGCTCCAGATTCTCTCTAGCAGGTCACACAGACTGGCGATCAGAGTGTTCTCCTCTAATCCAGTGATGCTGGCCTCGCCATGACCCAGCTCCACCGCCTCGCGGCCCATCTTCTCCACCAGCATACGCTTGGTCTACACACCCACATACAATTAGAGGAATCACTGTGATATATTATGAACATACTTAAAATCCAAGGCATATGACACATCCATGTAACCTACTCTCCAGTTATATTAAAAACCACTGCATTCTGTGGATGGACGTGCCTCTTCATCATTTCTTATGATGGCTAAATGGGCAAACTGGAGTAGAAGAGCCTTGCTTTGTATTGTGGAGAATTTGTGTCATAGTTGAGGAACTTTTTATGTGTATGGGTTAGAGATGGCACGATACCACTTTGTTATGTCCGATACCGATATTGATATACCGATAAATTTGGATATCGGCCGATACGAATCCGATATAGTGTGTTTTTTAATCAATAAAAAAAACACACTATAAATAGGGAACCACCCCCCACCCTCCACCTCATGATGCTTAATCGACGTAATCAACTTTAATTCGATGCAGTGTGAAAAAAAATGCACAGAAATCAATTATTTTTCCACAATAATTAAATAGATTCAATATCTTTCTTCTACAGAACTGCAGACTGCACAGATGGTACCTTCCCAAAGGAAAAAGTGCTACAGCTTACTAGGGTATATTAGACTTAACAGTTACTATATACAGTAATGGACTTCTATACATTTTACATCAAATTAAAACTTTGGGTGTAAGATTCGGATAATTATTTATTAAAAGCTCGACATTTTAAATGAGAATAAGAAAGAAAAGTATGTCTTTGTGCCCCCTTTTCCCTGTTCATGCCCTATCGGCCCCCCTGGCTAAACTTTGCTAGATCCGCCCCTGCACAGTTACAGCCGTCAGCTGCGTAGAAAAAGATCCTGGTGTAGAAAGTAATAATAAATAAATTCTAACAACAGCTTAAGCTTAAACGTGCTGCTGTTGTTCAGCCGCTGGTTTCCTCTTTCTGGTGCAAAGTGGGCCAAAAACAAACAAGAGAGACAGACTCACGACAGAAAAGCCGATCAGCTGATCATTGATTGAAGTGGCAGCAGGAGAGAGAGGGAGAGGCAGTCGCTCCATATATCGGTTGTCAAGCTTAACGCTGGAATGCTTTACAAACATTCAGAGATGAACTTACACACTTGCTTTACTTCTCTCTGGGATAACTTTCTCTGAGATAAAATGCTCGTTTGGTAGCGAGGCTCCAAATGCTCAACCTGACCACCGACAGGTCTCACACGCCACAGCCGCTCTATCACGTGACGCATACTGCTCCGACGTGCTACGGTTATGAGCCGAGTTACGCCATGTTGCAAGTTTTTTGAGGTGCTTTTTTGATATTTGATGGATCGATTACATTTTTTATTTCCCTCCGATATCCGATCCAGTAATTTAGGTCAGTATCGGGCCGATACCGATAAGTAATATCGGATCGGTCCATCTCTAGTATGGATTTGGAGGTACTCTATGCGACACACTGCAGTTCATCGTTAAACATTACAGGAGTCATTTTGATAGAACGCAATAATGTGGTAATTTCACAGTTATTACCACTCATTCACCATGGTAGTTTATAAACAGGAAACAGAGCTGCAAAATGCAAAACTGCCCGTTTCTATTTAATAACATATTAATAACCAGGTAAAAACCCTTGGAAACAAACTTAAAGAATAGTAATGACTACCAGGAAACTCCTGTGGCAGTTTATGTGTAATAAGCAGAAATTTAATACTATGGTCATGATAGCTGATTAAAACAAGCATCAGAAAATCTGTAATGAACTGGAAACACTTATGCAAAATGTCAATAATTAAGTTTAAAAGAGTAACCCTTTAACTGAGAAGTATAAACTGTATATATATTTACAGTTTTCAGTAATAACTTCTGTAAATGAAGGACAGCGAATGAGTGCATGCAAGAATCAAGAATCATGGGTCATTTCCAAGTGCAGAAGCATTGCTGGGGTTCTGTTTCACCTTCATGCGACACTCCTTGAGCAACCCTTCCACAAACTTCCAGTTGGTCTGGGCGATCACGGCAGGCGACAGGTCGGAGAGTTTAGGCTGTCGCAGATTCTTCCCGAGGCTGCGGGCCTCCTGCATGTACTTCTGAAGTGCAGACGAAGATATTTAGTGAGATTTAAATAACAGGCACTGAAAGTGTCATTCTTTTGTATGAATGTTTGCAGTTAACACGTATTAGAGGTTGAGGTAAGCATCCTCACTCCTGGCACAATCTCACAAATACGTGCCTTCCTTATACACTGTTAATAACCTGTTCTAGTAGTTCTGTGACTGTTAATGGTAATTTTGTTCATGTGAGACACTTCGAGGAACTTAAGTGAGTTAAGTTAAAGGGTGTGACACAGGAGGCGAGTAAAAAGAAAGGCTGTGTTGGCAGGAAGTATCACTCAGTCTGGAGCATGGCATACCAAATTCAAAATGTTTCCTATAATGAGCTCTGAGTGCTTCGCAGAAATGAGAAATCCATGCTCTTACATCACTGTTCTCACAAACAGAAGATTTCCCACTGCTGCTGTTTCACATTTAAAGTGTTCAAAGCAGAACATGACATGGAAATAGCTGGAAATACTGTCAATGATGTATTTGATGTCCTTTTTTTTTTTTCAAATTAAAGGTTCAGTGTCTAAAATCTTAACCACTAGATGTCAGGAGATTGCAGTTAAATTAATTCTGTTTTTTTTTTTACCATCCCAGTTTAAGAGGAAAATTCTAGCTATGGTGTCTGCTGTAGGACAAACAACTCAGGCTGCTGTAGTGAACGTAGGGTGTCACTCTGCTGTTCCCCTCAGCTGTCAATACGCCTGCATGTGTATTTACTCTGAAGGAGGCTGTACAACTTTGTGGAAGAGTCCGACATGTGTTGATGAGTCAGTGCAGCTCAAGTCTGTCTGAGGCAGGTTTTTGAAGATGTCATAAATGTTTCTGTTGGTAAGAGCTGCTGTTTTTGCCATTGTTAGCTGCTGTTAGATGGCATCAGTGAAACTGATGGGACTTTTTATGACACTGAGGCCTAACATTGGTATACTGGTGTAATGGCTATAACTGTCTGGATATGGGATGGTCACATCTTCATCTACTCACAGTGACAAATTGCAACAATATGAAGAAAAAACAAGCTTGTTTATGCACGTTTTTGTGTTATTGCCCGGACTTCAGTCAGGAGACGAGGCTTCAGGTAAGACAGAAGAGGATGACATACATACATACATAGTAGATACATACATACACATACATGAAACGATAACACACATTTAGGTGAATCTCGACCGCTGTGTTCAAGACAGGAGGGCAACATGGTGGTTTCCATAACTCGGTGCCAGGTCCAATATATTTCTGATGGATTCACTCACAAGTTTATGAGAATGTAAATTTTTTGAAACACACAATTACATATGAGTGCAACTTTTTTCCTCTTGAAGGACCTAAAAATTTACTTGCGGTACCTTAAAAGTGAATCTCTCTGGATTTTTGACTGCTGCACATTCAAAACAAAGAATTGGAAGATATGCCTTTGCTAACTGTGCAGCTCACCGAGCCTAAACACCCCTCAGATATGCAAAAAGATTGTATTTTGCTTGTTTTATTCTTGTTTTCCTTTAGAATTTTATATTTTTTACTATTCAGCAAGGAATTGTGCCTTAGAGAATGTGGGAACCTCGGAAAAGTAGGTGGAAGTGAGGGTGGAGGCTATGAGAGGGAATCCAAAACACAAGCATCTCCTGCACATACCAGGCAGGAAGCAGAAGCAGATTTTTTAGGTGGTTTGACAGGAGGAGGGGATGCATTGTCCCACTCCCAAAATGCCATGGAATTCTGTAGGACCAGGCAGCCCTCCACCTGCTCGAGGAGGAAGAGCGGTACAACCCGACCCCAGACGGACCGGAACAGGACACACAGCCAGATAGAAGACGACAGAGCCAAAAGAATGGAACATAAGAAGACAGTGAAGGTAGCATAAACATAACATAAACCAAACAAAGAAAGCTCAAACAGAAGGAAACATAAATGTAGTTACACAACAGAACAAAACAATAAGCAGAAAATAAAGATGAGAGAGTTAGAGAACAGTGGAGACCAGGGAGCAGTCAGAAGGATGGTTTTTCACCTCTTTCAGGTCATTATCAAGGGTTAGATGTTCCGTTTGTTGTCTGTGGCGATCTTTTCTGCGCTGAGCTGTTGTTGCCTTGTGACACCACCTGCAGAACAAACACGCTGTGAATATACTGCGTAGCCTTTAACTATCTGTGCTCCTGTGAGTCAAACTGAAGGGAGAAGAAAGTAGATCAGTTGTATAAAGTTACTTTAAGATTTAAGGTAAACTTTGCCTTTAACAGTAAAGCAGTTAATTCACAACAGTTTTTTATGTTTTACTTTCTCTTTGATTTGAACTGCATTTTAACATTGATGATATTATTACGAGCAGCTTAAAACAATCCTATTAAACTATTCTATAAAGATTTTTCAGCAGTGCAAACAGATTTGTCAACATTTTTGAAGTTTTGCTTGTTATGTATCACTGATTATGGAATGCCACACGAATAAAATGGAGAAAAGGAAATAGGATCTGAGTGCATCTAGCTGGGCTTTCAGTTGTATGTGTGTAACCTGATCTAACCAATCTCTGTTGAACCTACATTCAAACTGTACTGGAGTATTCTGACAAAGACAGCCTGAAGCTTCTGCTGTCGTCTGTGAAATCTGTCCACAGTGGAGGCTGACTCACTTGTTATTGCTCGGTCCTGTGTTGAGCACTTCGGTCTGCAGTTTGGGGAAGAACCCCTGCTCGTACTTCCCCTGACCGATCTTCATGTCCAGCAGGTGTGGGTGGATGGCCGTGTGGTCAATCTTCATCAGCCGCTGCTCAATGGCCTGAGCTAAACAAAAGACGGTACAGATTCAGACAACGCTGTAAGGACGTGAAACCATCATGGCATTTGGAGAATTCCAGTAGGTGTCACATTACTGAAGGTAATTTCAGATTTAAACGCTGCAGGCATGCATGTGGATTTATGTGATTACTGATTCCACCATCTAGATCGCATCTTATCTGAACACACACACACACACACACACACACACACACACACACACACACACACACACACACACACCCCCCACTGGAAAAAAAACTGCAATTAAGATGTAAGACATTGAGTGATATGTCGCCGTCCTTCACAGATAAGTTTTGCTGCAAAGAGTGACTCAGCTTCCTGTTTGTTCTATTCTGTGTCACTTCTAGGCTGTACTTCAAAACAGGCTGTTTATATATTAAATCACAGCATGATGTATGACGTTGTGGTTCATTCTCTATAGAGACCTGGTCTGACTGACTCTTACTTGTTGATCCTTCTAAAGATTAAACATCATCAACAGCAGCGACTGCAAACACACTCCATCTTCATCTGTCATGTGGTTATACTGCGTTTGTCTCTGACTGAAGTCCTCAGAGAGCAGGTGGCGTGTTCTCTGAGTGGAGGCACTGGAGGGAGGCAGGCAGAGGAAAGGCCTGTCCATTGTCTGCATAATTAAGTATGCAGACCATTGCAAATGAAGTCACCCTTGGCAACTGCAGTTCACATGGACTGGCCTATTAGTGCATGGAAGTCGGAATCACTGAACACACTGAGCCACGGCAGCTCACTCGTACAAACAGCGTTATCTTGAGCTGACATGTGAAGAGTTATAAGCCACTGTTGTCGATCTCAGCAATGATCATGAGAACTGGCAGGAAACCAGAAGAACACCAACACTGTCAGAACATTGTGCTCCCTGCTTTTTTTCTAATTCTTGTGTCATGTCCTGCATTTTTAGCATGCTACCAAGGCACCAGCCCACACTTCATCCAAGGGGATTATTTCTAGAAGCAACAACTGGTCTGATAGAGACTACTCCTTATTGTCTTCTAAATGTTGCGAAATTCCAGACAAGGCCAGGTTATTATTCTTTGCAATTGTTAATAATGAGTTTATATGTTTTAAATGGTCATAAAGGGGGAGAAACTTTGCCTCAAGACAGTTTTTTAAACAGGTGCCTGATAGGATTCAAAAAGCTACTACGGACAAAGGCAGAGGTAATGCACTTTAAAACTGTCTGACAATGACGAATAGACAACAGATTAATGGGTAACTTAGCAAAGAACCAATTTTAATTTGTGTCTTTAGGACTTTGATACCATTAGCCTTTGCAAAAAGTCATAATTTATTTTTCATTTCTATAGTTGAGTCACAGTTTGACAGGCATTACATCGTCTTTTGCAGCATCAAAAAGATCCCAAAGAGCTGTTAGTTGTGTTTTTAAAAAAACTAGAGAGGGGGACAAAAGGACTAAAAACGACCCACAGCAGATGAATAGCATCTCAAAATTATATCCTAAAGAAACTGGAAGAAATCCAGCAAAGACCTGCCCTTCAGAATGGCTTCTTAACAAATATTCTTCCACTGAGACAGTGCATGGATTAACTGAAGTATGGAAACTAGAGATGGCACGATACCACTTTTCTATGTCCGATACCAATATCATCAATTTGGATATCAACCGATACCGATATGAATCCGATATAGTGTTTTTTAATCAATAAAACAGTTTTTTTTAATATCTTGCTGCATTTTGTATAAGTTCATACTCAAGTTAAAACAAACACTAAAGCTATTCTGTTACACCTGTATGCAAAAAATAGACTGCACCCGAAATATTTCATAGTTCAGCAACACTGATCAATCTAATAAACTTAAACCTGCTCCATCCTCCCTATTCTGGTATTTTAAAGAGTTAGCAACCTAACTAATAGGGTTCTAAAACTCCCAGCAAAAATAAATAAATAAATAAAAAATAAGGAACCACCCCCCACCCCATGATGCTTAATCGACGTAATCAACTTTAATTTGATGCAGTGTGAAAAAAAAATGCACAGAAATAAATTATTTTCCAAGAATAATTAAATAGATTCAACATCTTTCTTCTGCAGAATTGCAGACTGCACAGATGGTACCTTCCCAAAGGAAAACGTACTATAGCTTACTAGGGTATATTTTACATCAGATTAAAACTTTGGATGTAAGATTCAGATAATTATTTATTAAAAGCTCGACATTTTAAATGAGAATAAGAAAGAAAAGTATGTCTTTGTGCCCCCTTTTCCCTGTTAATGCCCTATCGGCCCCCCTGGCTAAACTTTGCTAGATCCGCCCCTGCACAGTTACAGCCGTCAGCTACGTAGAAAAAGATCCTGGTGTAGAAAGTAATAATAAATACATTAACAACAGCTGATCAAGCTTAAACGTGCTGCTGTTGTTCAGTTTCCTCTTTCTGGTGCAAAGTGGGCCAAAAACAAACAAGAGAGACGGACTCACGACAGAAAAGCCGATCAGCTGATCAGTGATCAGTTTCATGATTAAAGTAGCAACAGGAGAGGGAGGGAGAGAGAGGCAGTCGCTCCATATATCGGTTGTTAAGCTTAACGTGGGAATGCTTTACAAACAGAGATGAACTTACACACTTGCTTTACTTCTGTCTGAGATAACTTCCTCGGAGATGAAATGCTCAACCAGACCGCCGACAGGTCTCACACGCCACAGCCGCTCTATCACGTGACGCATACTGCTCCGACGTGCTACGGTTATGAGCCGAGTTACGCCATGTCGCAAGTTTTGTGAGGTGCTTTTTTGATATTTAATGGATCGATTACATTTTTTATTTCCCTCCGATATCCGATCCAGTAATTTAGGTCAGTATCGGACCGATACCGATAAGTAATATCGGATCAGCCCATCTCTAATGGAAACAGGAAGAAAATGTTGCGCTTTGCCAAACTATGCTGTGGTTGCGGTTCTGTCATGGTGCAGGGCTGCATTTCAGCCAGTGTGAAGATGATCTTATCTAAACAAATGGAATTATGAAAGTGACAAAGTACAGTCAAATTTTTATCCACCACACAATCTGGACAGTGTTTAACCCTTTAAGACTTACCATAGAACCAAGTCTGCCAGAGCTTATATTATATTTTTACATGCTGTGGAGCCATTTTTGGGAGCATTTCAAGTTGCTATACATCAAAACAACCATTATAGCCCAGATTTTAATAATATGTGTTCATTAAGTGCATAGAAATTACATAAATTGCAAAAGTGCAATAAACTACAAAAAAATTTAAATTCGTTTTTGTTTTTTTAACATATATTTCTAGTTAGAGAAATTTAAGAGGCTTATCCCTCAAAACTGTAAATACAAAAAAGTTGCAAAAATAGTTTCCCACCACAGGAAATTTATTTTAAGTGTCTTCATAGTTTTATTTTTGAAATACACCAATTTTTATATACTGCAGGAAAAACGAAAATAAATATTATAATGCAAATTTGCAAAAAAACCCCAAAACAGCATGTGCATCAAAATAAACTATTTCCAGCAGTGCAATATGAGTCCTCAGCATCCCAGAAACGACACAGAAAGTCATAAACTCAAACATAACTTTTAAAAACACCAGTATAGGCTCACAAGGCCCTGATGGTAAAAAACTACATTTCCGCAAAATGACGTCACTTCCGGTTTCGGGCAGGTCATGGTGGACATGCGATAGTTCGCGCTGATGGACGTAGGAAGTGTTACAAACAGCTGATCGGATCGGCGAAGCGTGTTTCTGGGATATTATGTTTTTGTTGCTGCAAGCGCTTTTTATGCAGTTTTTATATGTGGAAGGAAACCGTGACCGAGGACAAGCTGATGGCATCAGATGTAAGTACAACTCCTCTGGTTTCATATGCAAAAAAAATTATTGCGCTAGCTTACGTGGTTGCAGTGCTATCGGGATTTAAAAATAGTTACGCAAAACGGAGCGTGCCCGCTCTGACCGGCTTTAAAGGGTTAACAGACAACAACTTCATTTTTCAGCATGACAACAATCACAGACCTCAGCATTACTGAAGCAGTATGGGATTATGTTGACAGAGAAGTAACAACAGGCACACAACATCCAAAGAAGAGCTGTAGCATGTCCTTCAAGGAGTCTAGATGACTATTCCTGAAGAATATTCAAAGAAATTCCAAAACAAGCTGTGATGAAGAATAAAGATTGGCTTTCAAACTTGATAAGAGCTGTACAAACATCTTCCATCTATGTTTGTACATGGTTTACATGGTAACTGCAACTTTGCATCAATCACTGAGCTAATTCCCATTTCATAAGCAAAATATAAAGAAATGTATCAACATTTTTGCATAATCTCTGAGCAAACACTATTTACATATAACAACTCTTCCACTGAAAGCAGGCACTGAAAAGACTTATTTCACTTCAGTGAGAAAGTTAATTAGCCTGGAATATTTTCATTTTCACAACACATGCTTCTCAAACCAACAATCTGAACCATGTTCACACAGAAATAAATCTCTCACACACACGTCCCCATCTGAGCTTACCAGACTCTTTGAGGATGGAGCACCTCTGGTAGCAGGACGACCGGAGACTGGGAGCACGGATATTATAGAGGCGTGCCTTGTCAATACGAGTGTCAAAGACATGGAGCATAGGCTCCTTCTCCTCCCACTGAGACATGATCTTGTTGTCGATGAAGGTGGCAAACATCTGTGTCTCGATGAAGTGAGACAGAAAGGGAAGGTAGGGCTCTGGCTGGTCTGACAGGAATGAAGCCTGTTCACAAGAGCATATGTATTTTCAGTACTGTGCAGTTCAATGTCATTTATATAGCATCTTTAGTAACTTTAGATTTTAAGGTAAAGACAGCACAATATTATAGAAAAACCTCAACTATAAAACAATCCCCTACGGCAAGCACAGGGAGAAAGAGCCCACTTTCAGACAACAATTTGTTTGTAATAAACAAAGCTAGCCTTAAACCACAAATGCCAGGAAAATGTAAATATAGAATTTTAACAGAAAGGAAAACAACACAATGAAATAAATAAGTCTAATCAGCACTAAACATTGACTGAAAATATGCAGACTGATTCTTCAGTTTAAAATACTGTCCATTCTTACATAAAATACTTTAATAGGAAACAGTAACAGGAACTAACAGGTTTCACAAATAAACAGAACAAAGAAAATAGAGTCCAAAGAGACTACGCTATCATTTCTTCCAATTATGGATGATCTCCAGCTAATTCATGATAAATCCTCTGGCTTTTCTTATGATCCACTGTCCTTCCCTTAGATATGCCCTTCTTTCCATTTGTTCTTTTGCTTTTTAAATCACTACCAAGTGAGATGAACTACATCTTATTTGGAAACTGTTTCCTCCTGTTTATGTCATTTTAGGGAGGTAAGCTGCTGTTTTTTTTAGTTATTTCTTGGTTATATTGTGGTTTGTTTGTTATTTTGGCCTCATGTTCTTTTGATATCATTTTGTACTTCTGTCCAATAATAACTAAAACATCTTGGGACTTGGAAAAAAAGGAACTGGTAAGAAGAAAAATGCCTCTTTTACAAATACCATGAAAACGTTGAGTACAACACTTGTTTTCCAATAAGGTACGACCTTTTTACAAACATATTTCTGACTGAGGCACAACGGGAAAGAAAACCTTGATCACCTTGTCAAAGTTGTGCATCTGCTCCCTGTTGGTGAGCCAGGACTCCAGATCAGGAGCGCTCTGGATAACAAACGATTCATAGTCTGCAAACATGGTAGTGAAGCGGCTGGCGAACACCTCCCTCAGCTGAACGTTCAGTTTGGCTTTCCTTAGCTCCTCTTCTTCACCTCCTGTTTGGTTTCCTCCGTCGGTGGGCTGACCTTTGACTCCAGCCCTCAGGGCTTCCACACGTGCCACAGTCACCCCAGTGCGTTTAGTCAGTGCCTGCAGTCTCTCCAGCGTAGCATTTCCCTGCAGCAGCTCCAGCACCACTAACTCCTCTCCTGCCAGATTGCCATTACGTCCATCGTCCTCTAGCTGTCGAAGGGTGGCGGATTTGCGTTCCCTTCCTGGGGTGGACGAGGTGCTGCCAGGACTGGAGCGGGTCCGGGGCGGGGCGCCAGTGTTGGCAGAGAAGCCAAAGCTTAATAACACCTCAGTGAGCTCCTGGATGAATTCGGTCTTGTTTGGGAACTGAGGGAAGTCCTCTGGAAGCTCGATGGAGTGGTTGTCAATATCCACAAAACACAGGTTGGCCTGTGAGAGGAAAACACGTTTTTATTAGGCTCTGAAATAAACTCTAATGGTGCAAGTTTCAGTTCTGTGATGTGCATTTCTGTTGGCACAACAAGTGAATTCAAATGTGTTCACCGCAGACATTGGATCGATGTGTCTTCTGTGCACTGCAGACAGGAGAAACAGCTGGTGGAGGCAGGATTAGTAAAGACAGATCGTTTTTAGGAGGTGGAGGTATGATGGGGGTTGGGATATGGAGTGTCGAGAATATAGGCCAATGGAATAACAGCATATATTCAGACACCAATCCAAATGTGATAGGATGGAATTTGCATCACGCCTCATGGGGGATTAAAGCAAAACCTCTAGAAACACTAAACATGTAGAAATGAGCTTCTACATATCACAGAATACAGACTGCTAAAGGACCTCTCAATTTAAAACGTTTTACAAGGACTATAAAAATGTTGCCAAACAGACCGACGTACACCACAGCTGGGGGAATTTCTTAGTTGTTAATTGATTGAATGTCCAAGTGCAATTCCTGTTTGCTGACTTCTAAATGTAGTAAATCTCACTGAGCAAAGTAAAAGAAGGTTTGGGTGAGAATATTGAATGAGTGTAAAAACAGACATCGAAATTAGGTGAGATGTACGTGGAGTTCTGTGAGATAGCAGTAAGGCACGTGAGCCCATGAGACTGTAAGCATACAGACACAACCAAAAACCAACTTGTTGAATTAAGTTTACAGAAACGTTCGTTTGGCTCTGGCCTCTCATAGCTATACTTGCAGGCAGAGAAAGGCACAGTGTAACAGAGCCAAACATCTCTCATGCTCACGTTTTTAATAAACAGGGTTAGAAAAAGACAAACTCTGGCTACACTTTCCTCCCTCTCATCATCTACTCTTTGTGTGGCTTTTCATTTCTAGGTCACATCCACTTCAAAGGCAAACACAGGGACAAACTGTTCATGCAGGGGCTCCTGTGAGGGGATAAGGAGGAGAGTTAGAAGGGAGCTGTGGGTGATGCACAGAGGCATCCTGCACTGAATTGGATAATTAACACCCATATGTAAAGTCCCAGATTAACGACCCAGGGTGATGATGGGGGTGTGAGCAAAGCCAGAGGCCTGAAAGAATCGATTTTCTGCTTTGTTAGAGCCTTATCGTGCCCTAACACATAAACACACACACACACAGTAACTGTAACCCACCCAGCACTGGACTATACAATGGTTAAAATCCAGGACACATTCACCTCCTCACTGTCTGACTGAGGCTGAAAAGTGACAAAGCAATAAAAGACTACTCCTGTCTGGCTCTGCCTTGAGGTGAATTTAACGATAACAAGGAAACTGACTGTTTTTCATTTAATTATTTCATATCAGTTTATTTATATGTCTATAGCACTTCGCTCTCGCTCTGCAGGCCTACTTGTTGTTCCTAGAGTATTTAAAAGTAGAATGGGAGGCAGAGCCTTCAGTTTTCAGGCCCCTCTTCTGTGGAACCAGCTTCCAGTTTGGATTCAGGAGACAGACACTATCTCTACTTTCAAGATTAGGCTTCAAACTTTCCTTTTGTCTAAAGCATATAGTTAGGGCTGGACCAGGTGACCCTGAATCCTCCCTTAGTTATACTGTAATAGATGTAGACTGCCGGGGGATTCCCATGATGCATTGGGTTTTTCCTTTCCAGTCACCTTTCTCACTCACTATGTGTTAACAGACCTCTCTGCATTGAATCATATCTGTTATTAACCTCTGTCTCTCTTCCACAGCATGTCTTCATCCTGTCTTCCTTCTCTCTCCCCAACCAATCACAGCAGATGGCCCCGCCCCTCCCTGAGCCTGGTTCTGCTGGAGGTTTCTTCCTGTTAAAAGGGAGTTTTTCCTTCCCACTGTCACCAAAGTGCTTGCTCATAGGGGGTCATATGATTGTTGGGTTTTTCTCTGTATCTATGAAGCGCCTTGAGGCGACTTTTGTTGTGATTTGATGCTATATAAATAAAATTGAATTGAATTGAATTGAATATAGTGCAGGGGATGATACAGTTAAAAAAAACATCACCTCATCCAATAAAGAAGAACAGCATTGTAGCATTATAAAGCATTAAAACTGGATGTTAGGCTTTTATAAACTAAAACTACAATAAATACAAAGATAAAGATAGCAGATCCAGAACAAAGACAACATAAAGACTGTATTTCATCCAGCTGAGCTGGCTGCTGTGTCCTTATAGAGACTTGATCAAACGGAACCATTATTAATAAAGTTTGATTCAGTTTTTTTCTGGTTTAATAAGTAAAATGTGTGCCATGCTCATTTAAATGTGCAAGTGTGTTTGTTTTGTGTGTGTGTGTGTGTGTGTGTGTGGTTAGACTTAAAGGAGGTTACCTACACACCTGAACAGAAACTAGAAGATGTGAAATTATAAATTAAGTTCTATGTTATTACAATTTCCTGTTACAAGCTTTTCAGTTTGGGTGCTCCGAAAAGGAACATTTTTATAAAAATACAGATGACATCCTGATCTGGTGTAAATGCAAAAATCCTAGGTGACACCTTTCTGGAGTTTTGTGTTCACAAGAGTTTCAGAAAACCTGACCTCTGACCTCTTAGGTGGGACATAACAAAGTACTTCGTTACTGTATTTATGTAGAATTTTCAGGTATCTGTATTTTTCTTCTGACAACTTTTACTCCCTACATTTTAAACATGCCTGTTACTCTAGGTTTATTTAAAGAGAATAATGTTTTTTTAACCCTTTAAGACCTACTATAGAACCAAATCCGCCAGAGCTTACTTTATATTTTTACATGTTGTAGTGCCATTTTTGGGAGCATTTCAAGTTGCTATACATCAATACAACTGTTATAGCCCATATTCTAATAATATGTATGCATTAAGTCCATAGTAATTACATTAATTGCAAAAAAGTGCAATAAAGTACAAAAAAATTGAAAATCGTTTTTGGTTTTGTTTATATATACTTCTACTTGGAGAAATTTAAGAGGTTTATCCCTCAAAACTTTAAATACAATAAAGTTGCAAAAAATAGTTTACAACAACAGGAAATTTATTTTGAGTGTCTTCATAGTTTTATTTTGGAGATACAGCAATTTGTATACACTGCAGGAAAAACGAAAAACAATCCTATGATGCAAATTTGCAAAGAAAACAGCATGTGCATCAAAATAAACTATTTCCAGCAGTGCAATTTGAGTTCTAAGCATCCCAGCAACTATTCAGAAAAGCATAAAGTCAAACATGACTTATAAAAACACCAGTATAGGCTTTTAAGGCCTACAAGTAAAAAAAAACTACATTTTCCGCAAAATGGTGTCACTTCCGGTTTTGGGCAGGAAATGGCGGACATGCGATCGTTCGCGTTGACGTCTTTTTCAATGTGGGAAGTGTTACGAACAGCTGATCAGATCAGCAAAACCTGTTTCTGGAATATTATGTTTTTGTTCCTGCAAGAGCTTTTTATGCAGTTTTTGCAAAGCTTTATGTGGAAGGAAACCGTGACCGAGGACAAGCTGATGGCATAAGATGTGAGTACAACTCCTCCGGTTTCATATGCAAAAAAAATCATTGCGCTAGCTTACAGGGTTCAGGTTCTACAGGGATTTAAAAATAGTTACGCAAAACGGAGCGTGCTGCTCTGACCGGCTTTAAAGGGTTAAGGGGCATCCAATGTCTGCACAAACATCAACAAACACAGAGAAAGAGTGAGAGACAACTTCAGTCAGAAATAAAGATGAGAAAGACAGGACAGGAGAGGAAGAAGAGAGGTTGGATTTAAAGGTAAGGACGGCTCAGTAACCGACAAATTTAAGACATTTTGTCTTATAGCTTGTGAAACATCTGCTTACATCTTGTTGAAATCAGTTTTGTAAATCCACACAGAGCAGCAGACCAGCTAATCACAGCCTGTACACAAAGGAAATCTACTGAAACTCACATTAGAAATGACTGTGAGCTGTGACTCTTTTCCCTGTGCTGAGCCACAGCACATGCTGTATCTCACGTTGACCCCTGACAGTACTCATGTGTGAAGTCATCCTCTTGATTCAGTAATTTGATATTTACCGGAGTATCTGCGCTTCTACTTAAATACAGAACGTCTGTACTTTTTCACCTCTGCCTGACCCAGAGTCAGATTTAAACTAGTCCCAAATTTCTAGGAGATGCACCTGTGACATAACTATGAAAATCCTTCATTCTCGAGTTACGGCGTTCACAAACTTGGCTGCCTTCTGACCATTGTTGATGCAGTTTCATGAATCCACAGCTTGATCAAGCCCAGTGACAGAAGCACCATACACCTACAGCACTCAAAGGATCTGCGGCCAGCATCCTGTGCCAGACCATAGACACCAACACTGGTACCCTGCCTGGTAGGACTCCTGGTCGATAGTAATTAATATTATACAGCTGGTTTTAATGTTGTGGCTGGTCTGTGCATTAACGCTACCCAGGCTGATGTTGTACCTCCTGAGGAAGCTCAAGTTTGGAGCGGTCAGTGCCCTCTTTGGACTGCAGGCCCATCAGGTAGGGAACAGGTGCATCTAGGAAATGAAGGAGGGAGGCTGGCAGGATGGGAACATAGACGTGCTGCCACTGGAAGGGAAATAGGAGGGTGGTGATGCCCTCTGCCACTGTCATCAACCGCTGGTAGTCTGAGAAACACAGAGAAAGAAGTGTGATGTGAGACAAGAGCATTACAGCAACACGTAGTTTCATGTCAGTTGTAAAATTGCACTCTGATGATCCTAAATTCACGCTAAGCTCCACCAAACACCACACAAGCACTGCTACAGTGTCTTGCAGGCTGAGTTCAGCAGCAGTTCAATCAGATTTCATCATTATGGCCTGAGTGAAAAGTCCACTTGGAGGAAACATAACTAAGGTTTCATGAATTCATCATCCTCTCCTCTCCTATGGTCCACTCCCCCTGGCTCAGCCAGCATCTCCCGATCTGTATGTGCACCTTCACTGAAGGTTTCCAAAGTCTTAACCACAGTCTGCGTGTCGGAGATACAGCTGGTTCACTTATCGGAAAACGTCCGTTTCTAGAAGCAGAATGTATTTACAATTGTGTTTAAATGTCTATATAAACACACACACACACACACACTTGGAAACAATTATAAGCACAGCTGCTCTAGGTAAGTGTGTAAAATACATGTTAGAATAAATGTCACACACTCAAACAAAAAGTGAGGCAATAGGTCTTTTTCTTTTGTGTTGGGAGAATTAGTGATGTCTAAAGAACCAATACGTGTCATTCCTCTCAAAGGCAAATTTTGGAATCTGCAATAGTACTTGATGTTTTTTTTACTAAGGTAAATACCACAGGCAGCAAACCAAGGGTGCAATTGTTCTGAAACTAAAGGGGGCAGCATAGACACGTATTCTAGTCTATTCTTAAATAAAGAAGAAGAAGAACGGCAGCTAGGAGCACAGGAGGGAGGCAGAGCCTTCAGTTTCCAGGCCCCTCTTCTGTGGAACCAGCTTCTGCAATTCTGCAATGGCAACTGATGTTAAAGACTCATGACCAATTATCACAAAGGCTTGATTAGGTTTACAAGGAAATTACTTTTTCAAACAGCATCAAGTGGGTCAGGATCGCCTTTTTTCAGTCATTATTTAAAAAGTGCATTTTGTATTTACTTAAGCTTTGTTTAAGATTCAAATTTGTTTGATGATCTAAAACATAAAGTTGTGACAAATATGCCAAAAGAAGTAATCAGGAAGAGGGCAAACACTTTTCCCATCGTCATTAAGAACCTCCACAGGCAGAGTTGCTAGAAGTTACTAAAGCTGCTACCACAGCAGACACTTGTGTATGTTAAAGCTCTCGTGGTATTCAAAGCCCCTCGTACACATCATGGTACTGGGCACTATTGGCATACGGGGCCATATGGTACGGAGTAAAATGTGGGGCTAAGTTGGCGCAGTGCTCAGGTTTGGGCCTACTTTTTAAACTGCATTATAACACATATATGAAGATTACCTTTCATGCAAATCTAAAATAACTGCACTTAATCAAAGCACGATTTACAGGTTGGCTGTAGCTCAGGAAGTTGAGCTACTACTAATCAGAAGACTGGTGGTTTGATCCCCGTCTGCTCCAGTCTGCAGACGGGGATTGCCTTTGGCAATATTAACCCCAAGTTGCTCTCCGATCCATCCGAGGCGAGTGTTAAATTTAGGGGTGAATGAGGCATAAGGACGCATTCTCAAAGTGAAAATCTGAGTAATTAATAAATGTTTTTGTGGGAAAGAGACAAGCCAGGTTTTGAAGCTCCTACCTGTAGGCGTGTGAGCATATTTTTCATATGTCTGTACATGTTCAAAGTTTCTCCTTTGTGTGGGGAACACAGCAAGCAAATCTCACAGAAACACTCCTGTTTCTTAATGTTGCAGCATGTCTCATCCTATTTGCTCTCTTTAGCTTTAAAATAACAAGTTCAGCTGTTCTACTTTAGTCATCAACACTTGCTGTTCTAATCTGACTTAAGTGGCGAGGTGCAGTATCTCATAAATTCCCTCCTCTTCCCTTTACTCACACTGACAGACTTTAAACTTGCTAACTCGAGGCACCTTCAGATATATTTTGGAAAGCCCCAGCAGTGACAGGGCTCAGGGTTGCTGTTGTTGTTATAGAACTGAAAAACAAGACGAAACAGGTCAAGTCATTGTGAAACTGTAACGGTGCATTAGGGCCTGATAAAGACCAGCAGCTCAGTCTCACAAGGCAAGAAGTGAGCAAGTCTGTGGTAAACAGCTGTTACTGTCAGGAAGCAAGTTGTCATCCCATGACAAGTCAAACACGCTGATTAATCACACTGTGTGAAAACGCTGGCCGACTGCTCTGGATAAACGCATACGATGCACCTTAAACAGCAAACAGACTAACAGTTCTTGTGAAGGTCAGGACAGGAAATGACATTTGCATCAGTGCAGTGTTAGTGCACACAGGCACCTGGCTCTGTCTGATGCTTTTTAAGCAGTTCAAGCAATTTCTGTATATAGAGAATAACTGCAGACAGATTCTTAAGGTGTATCTACAAAACACCTGTGAATCTCCTGCAGTGGTCCCATCAACATCCAGTGAGGTCAGTAGTTCCATCTTTGGCCTGTGATTGATCCACCGACCTTCTGCTGCTGGAAGTTTTTTAGCATCTACACATTTTTTTCTTTCTTTGAGTGGTTGCCAAAGTCAGAGACTCTGAGTAGGAATGTGAACATTATTAAACACTTTCACTGCATGTGACGAATAAAGAATCTTGACTAATCCTTCCGTTCTCTAACTGCATGTCTTTGGACTGTGAGAGGAAGCTGGAGCACGTGGAGACACACAACCTTCACACAGTAAGACCCCTGATAGTGGAATTGAACTCAGGATCTTCTTGCTGTGAGCCGACAGTGCTAACCGCCATGCCACAGTGCTTAATAATAACGGCTAGCTTATTATTAACACAATCAATAACGACACGGCAGGACAGCAGCTCATTAACGTGTAGCACTGTTCCATGTTTCCCTGCCTACAGCGCCATTACATATGAAGTTGGTATATTTCTGTACGCACATAATTACTCAACTTTTTTTGATCACTCGTGTTTGTGTAATCTGTGCAGAATGTAAAAAGACGAGGAATATGCTCATTTTTAATCAGTTTGTATTATTGAGTATTATTGTGGATTTTCAAAGAAAGTAATTGCAGAAACCGGCCTAATTCATGATTTCAAATCCTTGATTTTAAACTTGTGGCAGAAACAAAAGTACCTATAAGCATATTAAACTTAAGCTAACATTAAATGTAGCAGTTCAACTGCAGCTTAAACACACAGTCTTTCTGGAATTTGCACTCGTGAATTTGTATTCTGTAAGAAAGTTTGTTGACCTAAATTGACTTTGACGGTAACCTCAGAACATGCTGAAACAAGGAAATCACGTTGACATATGCCAAGAATGTGATTACAGTTATAGTGTCTTCATGACTGCACAGATGAAAAGGTTTTTATTTGCCTTTAATTTGGAGCAAAAGCTTCAGTGCTTGTTAAAGTCTGACATCATTAACTCAGTCGGTTAAGCACACCGTCTTTGCAGCTATTAATGTTTTATCATATATGTCATTTGACACTTTAATATAATTTTTTTTGTAATGCAAACATTTTAAATGCAAACCTCACGTTCTCGCAGCAAATCTCCTTTGCAGAATAAATGTGACTCGGAAGGGCCACAAGAATCATCTTTACTAACAAGCTCACACTAAAATGTGTTGAAAAACCTTTTCTTTACTAAGAACAATACACAGTGAGGTGCGTGATCAGATCCAGAGAGTGAAGATGCCAGAACAATGGAACCAGACAAGATTTTACAAATGTAGAAAGGATCACTGGGACAACTTTGACATCTATAGTGAGGGAGTCGAGTTTTTGGTCACTCTCATTGATGCCCACTTCAATTGCTTGCCTCAAAGTTGAGAAGTTAAATGTCCCTCTTTCAGCAGAGTTTGTTCTGTCTGGACAGATAACTCCTTACGACATTTATCAGAATCCCATTTAATCAAACGTGACTCACAAACTAAAAAAGGGTTTTCCTCTTCATTTATTTACACGAGCGATTTCTACGTGCCTACAGAGAACCTGGACCTCCTAGAGGTAGTTTCTGATGGTTGTTATGAATGCCGCCATTAAAACTGGCGTTTTTTGATTTGGAGTTGAAGGTCTGGTATATGAGCTAACAGCTTCTTTTTGCATGACTCATCATGCACAGAAGATAAACAAGCTGCAGAGAGAGTGCTGAAGCTGCACTGAAACTGCAAAAGAGTATGACTGAGGAATGTAGGACAAATAATGATCTCAGTCTACACACTAGATTCTCTGCATTTGGCTCTAATACTCTAACACAGTGAGGAACGCACACACTGCGTCTCACTGCAGCTGTCAATAATAAATGAAAGGAATCCTAGAAGCAGGGAAATCTGATCACTGTGTATCTGAGTGTGATATGCACATAAAGCCTCATTACAGTGTTCTCTGTTTTCATCTGAGTTTTTACTTTACAAGTTTCTAATGCTTCTCCGCTTCAAAGTATAGAAAACAGGAACAGTATGTTTTCTTTTCTGTTATCAAACTGTTCTGGAGAACTGGTGCCAGAGGAACAACCTCCTTCTAAACGTCAGTAAGACAAAGGAGCTGATAGTGGACTTCAGCACTAAGCAGGAGAGGAACTACCAGACCCCCGTCATCAACAAGTGCCCAGTGGAGAGAGTGGACAGCTTCAAATACCTCGGAGTTCACATCACGCAGGACCTGTCATGGTCCTGTCAAATCAACACCGTGGTGAAAAAGGCCCGTCAGCGTCTCTACCACCTCAGACGCTTGAGAGACTTCCAACTGCCCTCCAAGGTGCTCAGGAACTTTTACTCGTGCACCATAGAGAGCATCCTGGCGGGAAACATCTTAACCTGGTTCGGGAACAGCACCATGCAGGACAGACGAGCTCTACAGAGGGTTGTGCGGTCAGCTGAGCGCACCATCCGCTCCGAGCTCCCTGACCTGCACTCAATCTACAGCAGGCGGTGCTGGACCAAGGCCAGGAAGATCGTGAAGGACCTCAGCCATCCCAACAACAGACTGTTCTCTCTGCTGAGGTCAGGAAAGCGATTCCGCTCCCTGAAGACCAACACAGAGAGACTGGGGAGGAGCTTCTTCCCGCAGGCGATACGGTCTCTCAATCACACCACCACACAGTCCTGACCCACACATATGGTTCTTACACACACACTGGACTTTCTGGACTTTGGTTTTGCACAACACTGGTCACTATATTCTTCATTTCCAGTTAATACTTGTACAGCTGCTGTTATTGTGTATATATTTATTTATATTTATATTTCTTCATACATTCTTATATAGTTCTATATTGTGTATTTTGTTGTACAGTTATTTTATTTTCAACTTTAATTTATATATTTATCTTTATCTTATTCTTCCCAGTTAAATTTACCCTTCATTCTAATTTGTGTTGTACAGTTATTTCATTTTTAACCTTAATTTATATTTTATTCCTTCCTAGTTAAATTTACCCTTTTTAATTTTTCATATTTATTTCCTATCTTATTCATAGCCTTTTCCTTTTTATTTCTTTAGGTCACGAGCAGTTGTCCAAGCATTTCACTACATATCGTACTGTGTATGACTGTGTACGTAACAAATAAAATTTGAATTTGAATTTGAATTTCTCCCACTAGGAGCTCAGTCTGAGTGGAGTTTTTTTCTCCTCCTCTTACCTCATGTAGTGTATTTTCGTTGTTTTTTCCTATCAGCCTACCTTCTGACATGTCTGCCCAATGTGATGTTTGTGTAAAGTTGGTCAGAAGGTTCCTTTGTGAGTGCGCATGCGCCATTAGCGTGCTGCCTGCTGTAACCCTAATTTCCCTCGGGATGAATAAAGTATTCTGATTCTGAAACAAATTTTCTCCACAGACATCCACAACTTCTGGCAACCAGACAGAAAGCCTTACAATAGCTTCCAGTGGCTAAAAGGCCTCAAAGTAAGAAACGACGTCATAGCATAATAGAGTGAAGACAAAAATGTATCCACTGAAACCTCTGAAGTTGATTAATTGAATTTGATTTCATTTTTTTCTCAAATATTTTTATTGAGGTTAACCAAACAGAATACACACACATTAATAACAAGCACAATAAAAAAGAAAACATCGCAGAGGTTGTGAAAGGGGAAAAAAGCATATTGCAATGAGGTCTTAGATTCTAAGAAAGAACAGAGCTAAACTTAGTTATTGTTAAGGTGGCAGTTAAATAGAGAAATATATATGTAGAAAAAATAATATAGAATAAGAATATATAAGAATAAACAAATGAATATCTACATGCAGACTCATAGAGCAGTGATGAACTCAGGGCCTGGAGATTTGCAAATATTTCAGCAAGGACCCTCACAGCTGTTTGTATGTTTTGCTGGTATCGCTAATCAGAACAGATCTTTTCCAGGCTTAGACAGGACATCAGATCTCTCAGCCAGTGCGAGTGGGTCGGGACAGAAGGATGCTGAATTTATCAACTTAAATATTGAATCTCACATATCCTCAGACAGAGACATGCTTAAGTCCTGCTCACAAGCAGTTTAATGCCTGACAATCGAAGGGCCTTTAATGCCCACCAGCATGTGACAGATAGCAGATATTAACCCTTTCTGAGTTGGACGCAAAGTTAGGAACATATCTGCCGTCTTCAAAGTACCTCAGGAAAGTTCGACATCTAAGACTGAAGAAAGTGTCTAATCTGAAGACGCCTGAATAAATGTGAATTTTCAGAGAGTTTCATAAAAGATGCTAAGTTATTATCAGTGAACAAATCATTAAAGCACCTAGTGCTCCGTCCACGCCAATCTTGAAATACAGGATTGCTTGTAGATGGTTAGAAAGGGTCATTTGATGCGATTGGACTCAAACAAGACAAATCAGTCAGACAGAAGTGTTTTGTCATCTGAGCCCATATCCTCACAGTGTGCCAGACCAGCAGATTATCAGATGGCTGTGGAGTGGAGATCCAACTACTGCCAAGACAGATGCATCTTTAACATAATTTAACTCCGCCGGCACCCAGGACGCTGAATTGTCCCAATTTTGGAAATGAAACCAAAATATGCTGATCATATGTTAGCTACCCACAAACTGGCAACATAACAATGATTAAAAATGAAAATGTGCCATCATCTTACAGTGACCAAAAGCTAGGGACCACAGCAAGTCTTCCAGGTCCTGATGCAACAAAACAGCCCCATCACACGACCACCACCATCTTTTACTGCTGCTATGTCCCTTTTCTGAAACGCTGCATTATGCAGTGTGACACACGCCTTCCAAAAAGTTCAACTTTTGTCTCGTGAGTCCACAAAGTTACCTTTGCTACTGGTCCTGGCTACTTGCAGCAGATGGCCCCGCCCCTCCCTGAGCCTGGTTCTGCTGGAGGTTTCTTCCTGTTAAAAGGGAGTTTTTCCTTCCCACTGTTGCCAAAGTGCTTGCTCATAGGTGGTCATATAATTGTTGTCTGCATGTATTATTGTAGGGTCTACCTTACAATATAAAGCCCCTTGAGGTGACTGTTGTTGTGATTTGGTGCCATATAAATAAAATTGAATTGAATTGAAAGTATTTTCCCACTTTCCACACAGGGCTGTGCAGGGTTGGATTTCTTCCCCTTTAATAATAATAAACCTTCATTTAGAAATTTAGAAACATTTAAGTGTTACTAACATAGAAAAAATAGGAAATCAGGAAGGCGGCAAACATTTTTCCCACTACTGTATAATGTTACAGTAGTGTAACAATTGTTCATAAGGCAACATAAGATATTACTAAAATAAGGTAAACTGAAGCTGATGACTGGACATTTAACTTATCAATGACTCTCCAGGTCCTATAACATGTTAAAATGTCCATTGAAACCATGTTGGAAGCATGTTTAGAGAATAGGTTAATGGAACTATCTAACAATGTGTGGTATAGGTGACACAGCCTGTTTGTATTCTGTATGCAGAACCAATTCAAAGTGTAATAGCACCAGAAATCCAACAGCATGTGTAGAATGTACTTACCCTGTGAGTACAGCAGAATCTGCATCTCCAGCAAGGTGCAGGTGAACACCTGGACCAGGTTTTCCACGCCTAGCAGAGAAAAGGCCTCTGCCAGGGGGAAGTCGGCCAGGGGAAGCTCTCCTGGTCCCGGCCTTTGGCAGACAATGGGTTCGTATATGCCGTGGAATTTGAGTGAACGCCCCAGAGCAGGCAGCGGCACCTCGTACAGGATGTTGTAAACGTAGCTCTCCAGTGGCAAGGGGGGTGCGGTTGCAGCTATGACAGCAGAGTGCATCTGTGCAAGGAAGCGCCGGCAGGCGTGCATGAAGGGCATAGGCGTGATCAGACACAAGGCTTTGGACACATAGAGCGTGTCCCGTGACGAGTCATAGCTCCCCGCTGCACGAGATAAAGATGATGAGGATGATGAGGTGGGGGAGTAACCATCATCTAAACTACTGGCTAGTGAGTCCATGCTGGAGGAAGAAGAGGAGGAGGAAGAAGCGGCATTTGTTTGCTCGGCATTGTGCATCTGGTAGAGAGTCTGCATGGCAGAGCAGATCTGTGGGCTGGTCACCTCCTCATAAAAGGTGTGAACGAAACCATATGTTCGAGATCCATCCTCCTTGGTGATGATGAAGGAGTGGAACTGAGGCTCGCGCTGGTCTGCCTGTGTCCTGAATGACAAACCTTTGGGCATACAGAGCTGCAGAGAGAAAGGGCAAACAGAAATCATCGCGTCAGTTCTGATTCACTCACGCTGGAATCTTTTTATGTGTCCATAATCTTTCACTTTTCCAGATCTCATAGGATTTTCAAACACCGGTAAAAATGCTGCTTACATTTAATTCTACAGCTGAAAATCTTACAAGAAAAAGGCAGCGATTCTCTGCATGACCATTCTCAAATTTGAATTTCTGCGGTTTTATGCTTTTGTTTTCCATTTTATTGTTATAATGAGTTCAATAAGGAAGATCTATGGCCTCACATTTGTCCGCTCCAAGGTGCTGCCGGCTAAATCTGAGCTTCATCACTTCCATTCATGCCACGTACTCTCACTGCGTCTTTGTGCAACCCACCACCTCTCCATCTCATCACTCAAGCTCCATTCAAGCCACCTTCATCTCCACCAACGGTGTCTAGGCTCCAGGGGGTCCTCCCCTAATCCTTTTTACAGCTGGGGTTCTGTTTTGCCGAGACAGACCATCAGAGTATTCTGTGATTCTTTCTAATGATCTGTCCTTATTGAACTGATTTGTTTGTTGCTGTGACAAAACAAAATACCTGAATATGTTAACTACGGCACTGAGGAAGTCTTTCATGGCGTCTTATACCACACATCCACTATTTTCAAGAAATGAGGAGAAGATTAATTATTAAATAAATTTGCTAACTCTCTATAGCAATCACGTGTCATATGATTACTTGATCACTTGTTGCTTTCACAGCCAAACTCTATCAGTTACTGCCATCATCAGGTTTACTTGGCTGCTGAGACGAAGGACACACTGTGGAGACAAGTCTCAAGTCACCATGTCCATGCATGTGTACATGCACACAAACTGTTATCCACAATAATTGTTTTGACGATTTGTTGACATTTTGAATTCTCTTCCTTATTGTGCTCTGTGCTGACGGGCATCTAAACAAATATTTAGGCCTGATTGGATTATCCATGGCTCTTAATGAGCAGTTCAGTCAGCAATGAAAGATAATGATATAAATGATGACATCTGGCAAGTCTTGTCTCAAATAAGCATTAACCAGGCTTCAGTACAAGCCTGCAGAATGAACCAGGAAGCAGTAACAATCATCTAACTACGTGAGTGAGGAGCAACACAGGAGATACCGGTGCAGGGTGGCTGTTCATGTAGGAGCCAATATACTTATGAGCTCCACGATGTAGCAGTTAAAGGACAAAACAACCAAATTTAAATGTCTTCCTGTTTATAATACTGATGTGAAAAAGAAATGAGGACAGCAGCAGTTCAACCTATGTGCATGGTTTATTGTTTATGGTACAGGAAAACTGCTGCTCACAGACTGCAACACATCAGAGATCTAGTATGTAAAATGTGGTTTAACTTAAAGAGCAAGAATGGGAATATATATACTAGTATATCAGTATATATGTATACTAGTATATATATTAGTGTAATGTAAAGTTTTGAAAAGTGTGCAATTTCTGTGCCTGCAGAACATGGGCTAATACTCATTTGGTTGTATTTATTCTCTTTACTGACAGGACCATATCCATAAGAAGTGGGCAAACCTCCCTGCCATTTACAAATATATGATTTTCCCTCCCAGCAGAAACCTAAAGAGGAGGAGATTAGATTCCACAGACGGTGAGACGGTAATAAGATGAAGAGATGAAGAGGAGATTTAAGGCTATAATGATAATGATTTAAAGAGCTGTAATGATCAGAAAACATGGGAAAAGAAAGAATGATATTTCTGTCATTAAATGCCCTTGACATGGCATCATCAGGTTTCAGCTGCTGCACTGCTGCATAATGGACTGTTTCCATGTCAATGTAAGGAGAGATGCGCGGCTGAATTATTTAAAAGATGTGGTGCTGGGTGAGGTGGAAAACAAGGTGTGTACTCTTTATCCACACGGAGAGTACACGCCTTTGTTTCCATCACGAACACTGTGCTGGTCATGTCTCCTTCATTCCTGTCCTGCTGTCACATGTGGTCCATCTCTGCTGTCTAGGACTACAGTTGGAGATGGTAGGATTTCTTCTGCTCGCAGCAGGTGGAGAACTAGCTGACGGCCCAGTACGTTGGGCTTACCTATGCTTCAGAGCAGAGCAGGGACTGCCATCATCAAGTTTACTTTTGCATATAAAATGAGAGATTCACTCGAAAGGCAGCTGATTACACTAATTAGTAATTTATTTATATGAAAGCACTTTAAAAATATTTTATTTGCAGAGTAGAAACTCCCTTTAAGGCACATATTTGCATGTGTGCGCATCACCTTTGCCACAGGTAGAATGTAAAGCTATATATTCAGTACATAGCCTGTCCCTTTTAACTGTTGTGTTGCTATAGATCTTCCTAGATGTCTAAACTTAAAAATCTATTATTTCTTCATCTACATGTGATTCGTATCTGTTCATATATGTCTGGTATCTCTATCCCAAATACTGTTTGGCAGTGTGGAACTCTTCTCTTGACAAGATTTTAAAAGACCTAAATCAAAACCATAACTCTGCCACTGTCAGTACAGCTTTAAATGTAAAACTTTTTGGAGGGGATTTGTATTAATTGCTTTGTTACCCACAATTCCTTGAGGCCCAACTGTGTTTTAAATCAAAGCCTCAAAAGCTTCTTCCTCTGCCTCTGGCCAAAACCACTAATCTGCCCCATTTCCTCTAGAAATGATCCCATTGGGCTCTTCCCGCCGTAATTTTGATAGAATCCATAGCCTCCTTTATCCTCTGCCTATCATTTCTCCAGAAATCACAGTCCACATACCATGTTAACAGCATCCTGGTCGAATGGGTTCCACTCCACATTTTCTGGATAACGTGCCAGAACTTTGGACTTGAATGTCCTCTTCAGGGGACTCTGCTCAAAGTTTTCACCTGGACAAATGAGAAAGGGAAAATAAAAAGGTAATAATGCATCAACAAACAAAAAATCAAACAACTTGGGCCTGAAGCTGCAGAGTCATGCTCCAGATCAGCTGAGCTCAATGCCAGCCCACCTCAGTTTTAGCTAAACGGATACCCGTTTGGCGTGCTGTTCACAAATAGCAGGATACTGTTTGCTGGTGACTCTGTAGGATGCTTCCCCATGCTTTTTCTGACTTAAGCAATGCCATATCTGTTATATTAATGCCTACTTTGTTCTGTGAGGGCTATTGCTGCTAAACTCGATGCTTGTCTGGTGTGCTTGTCATGTATGCAGGTGAAAACGCAGAGATGGGTTCTTTCCCCTCCTTAGAATTTGCAAGAATGTTTTGGGAGGTTCCAGAAAATAGGCATATGATTTTACAAACACATTACTCCAAATAAAATATCAACCCTAGTTTGAAAAGTGGTCCTGACACAGTTCCAATTATGTTGGACATGAGATACAGAAGTAGAACATAAAGCTTAACAGAATCAGTAGCACTGGCTCAGTAAACCAAATGGACAGAATATCTCTGTGAGCGACTGAACTGCAAAGCAGATAACACCAAGTTCACACTTGTGCACCTGGAAGCTCTGCAGTGAGCTTTCCTGAAGATGCAATCAAAGATGTTTTCAAAGAGATTATTAAATACTATATAATAGAAAAAACAACACCACTCAAGTGGTTCATAAAGGAAAACAATATATGAAAAACCTCAAATAGAAATAACTGTTCTCAATTCTGGCTAGCTGAGCCCAGTTCCAGTTAACTCAGTTCATTCACAAAGAAAAAAAATCTCTATATTTTGGTAATCCTCTGTCAATTCAAGTCTACATCATAGAATGTAAAATACCCCACTTTGGGTTTTTAATCCACGAAGAGAACCCAAAAGAAGGAAATCAAAATCCTAAAAGGTTGATTCAGTTTATCTGGATGTAGCGTTTTCACTGGGAGAAACGTTTAGTCAGTCATCCAAGGGAATTCTTCAAACATCTCCCAGGGCCTCGTCACTAGGATTTGTAGCAGTTTTCCCGCCACCTTACGGGTTTCTGGCTTCTATTTCTGGCTGACATGAGACTTTTGTACATACTTTTTCGAATCCAAACCTATTCCTGGCCAGTATACCAATGTTTGCACCCTTTATTAGGCTTTGTATCTGCCAAAGTGGCCAAATGTAGGGTCATCAACTAACAACTGTAGAAGGGTTTCCCAGAGACAATCTGGTATGCAAACCTGAAGCTGTAAGACTCTGTAGACCTTGTCTTCCAGGATGGTGAACTTGGTAGCCTCAGTCACAGTGAGATTCCCATCATCTATTTTAGCATGGTAAATCTTTTGTATTTTTGCATCATTCTGGTTGGCTCTCCATATGTCCTCATCTGATAATGAAATGTGCTTGCGAGGTTCCCCTTTAACAGATAATATGCTGGCAACCTGGGTTTCATTGCTGGCAGGGTCACTAGGGGCTCTGGATAAAGCATTTAGCAGTGTTATATTTTACTGTACTCACCTGTAAAGGTGAACTTCTGCAGATACAGGATCCAGCAAGTGACTGTGCAGATCCCTTTTAGGTTTTGAACACCCAAACCAAGGAGGAGTGATCAGGTATCTCCATTTCTTGAATGCCCACACTACAGTTAGCACTCATTTTCTGTAGTGGAATAAATGCAGGCCATAGGCCAGAATTTCTCTGCATAATCTACTTTGTTTGCACAAACACAACTCCAAGTCCAACATCACTGGGATCTGTATACACCACAAAGGTTAGGTCAGGGTTGGGATGGCCTGAGATATCAGACATCAAAGGAATGCTGACATTCTGGAGTCCAATGGACTTTGGGTCCTTTTCACTTCAGTGGCTCAGCAATCTGAGAGATACCAAACCTGTGATACCAGCCTGCCATTTCTAATAGCTGGCTTTTTTCATCTTAACAGTGAGTTTTGTCTGCCTTAATTTGTCTAATATAGCCCAAAGATGAAAAAATGCTGTTCTCTGGTTGGAGAATAGATCAAAAAATCATCCAAGTACAAAAAGCAGGTCCAACCTCTGAGATCACCCAATGTTATCTCCATCAGCCTCTGGAAACTAGCTGGCTCGTTCCTCATTTTGAAGGCATAACTTTGAACTGGGAAAGGCTAAAGGGACAGGTGAACACTGTTTTGTCAATGCCTGGACACCTCCTGGGTAACAAAGGAGTTTATTAGTGAGCACTTCTGTGCATCCCAGTCTTCACATGCATACATCCCTGTTTTTATTAAGTTAACAAAAGAAGTGTCTCTTTTACCACTGCTTCCAGTTGGGAGACCTCAACTGCTCTTGGCAGGAGCTCTGCGTCAATGTTACTCTACTCTAATAGAAGCCCTTAGCCCTTACTCCCTATCCCCAATCACCAGGTATGTCCACACTTCCTCCAAAATCAAACCTTTTCTTCTAAGCCAAACCAATACTGGTGATTTTTACTCATCCCAGTAGGATATGCCTGGCACACCTCACTCAGGAGGTCCCCAGGGGTCATCACTGTCAAATGCCCAACAAGACTCTAAGATACCAGTTGAGGCAGCAACTTGTCCTTTATCCAGAGTGGGCACTTAACTCTTTTCTGGTTGAACCATAGTCTCAAACTTGGAGGTGCCAATTCTTACTGATGCTGCTTCATACTCACTTGGCTTTGTCTAGAAATTCTGTCCATAACAATTTTGATAAGAAGGTGGAGTCTACTACCCACCAGGAATGAGTCTGACTCGCAGTGTGAACCAAGTTCAATAGCTGTGCAAGGACTGAAAGGTTCGTAGCAACAGGCCGGACACTCCATACTCCTGAAGCATCTCAGACAGAATGCTCAGAGGGACATGCTCGAATGTCTTCTCCAAGTCCATAACATACATGTAGACCGGTCACCTTGTTTCCACACACATTTCAATATCCTCAAGAGGATAAAGAGCTGGTCCAGCATTCTGTGACCAGGACGAAAACTGTGTTTTTCTGCCTGAATCCTAATTCGACTAACAGATAGACTCTTCTTTCCTTTAGCCTGATGTAGACCATCCCATTGAGGCTGCACCTGAGAGCACTGTCTCCAGTCTCACTGCTTAAAGATGGGACCCAACATCCCAGTCTGTCAGTCCAGAGGCACTGCCCCACGTTTCCAGGTGACACTGCAGAGGCATGTCAACCAAAACAGCCCTACAACATCCAGGGCCTTAAAGACCATGGCTACCTCACCCCAGGGACCCTACCACCAACAAGCTGTCTAGTGACCACCCAGACTCTGCTTTTTCTATAGAAGACATTTCAATTGGATTAAGGAGGCTCGACTATATCCTCATTTGAGGTCAGTAGCACCTCACGCCATGTACCATGTAAATAGAGCGCCGTTTTCCTCTCCCAAGTCACCCGACTGTTTGCCAAAATTGCTTTGAGACAGATCAAAGTCTTTTTCTTTTCCCATAACAAAGTCTTCCTACACCCAAGTTTTTTTCCAGTGACTGCCTGAGCTGTGTTCCACTTGGACTGCAGGAGCCTGCCAGCTGCCTCCAAAATCTTACAAGCTAACCAAGCCCGATAGGACTCTTTCTTCTGCTTGATGGTGCCCTTCACCAGATGTGAAGGGCACCATCAAGCCTGAAGCCAACGCATTTAAGAGTGCTCTCATGGGTACTGCAATACTGCAATATACTCGCTATTGTGCATCAGGGATAACATTTACAACAATCACTAAAGCAACATCTAATATACAAAGGAGAGAAACTTGGAAAAAACTGGCCCATTCTGCTCTCTCATACCTATAGACCAGGGGTAGGGAACTCCAGGCCTCGAGGGCCGGTGTCCTGCAGGTTTTAGATCTCACCCTGGGTCAACACACCTGAATCAAGTGATTAGTTCATTACCAGGCCTCTGGAGAACTTCAGGACATATTGAGGAGGTAATTTAGCCATTTAAATCAGCTGTGTTGGATCAAGGACTCATTTAAAACCTGCAGGACACCGGCCCTCGACACCTGTGCTATAGACATTTGACTGTCTACCCCAGGAGATAACTGCTTTACTATAAGGCTGTCAACTCTAAGGCAGAAGAGAAGAGAAGTCAGGCATAAGCACAATAACTAAAAAAAAACCCAAAACAATAACTCGCTTTAGTCATGAAGACAAGAGGGACTGATTTGGATAACAAGTTCAAATAAGCTGACCTACATTCAGCATTGTCAGTTGTAGAATGCAGACAGGAAATGAGAGACAGCGACTGGCTAAGAGGATGAAATGGATTGAAGACTGTAATCCACATGGAGGTGGTGAGGTGATCCACGGGGATCTACAAAGTAGGGCTGCTCGATTATGGCAAAAATGATAATCACGATTATTTTCACTGAAATTGAGATCACGATTATTTGACGATATTTATTTAACCCTTTAAGACCTACTATAGAACCAAGTCCACCAGAGCTTACTTTATATTTTTACATGCTGTAGTGCCATTTGTGGGAGCATTTCAAGTTGCTATACATCAATACAACTGTTATAGCCCATATTTTAATAATATGTATGCATTAAGTCCATAGTAATTACATAAATTGCAAAAAAGTGCAATAAACTACAAAAAAAATTGAAAATCGCTTTTGTTTTGTTTACATATATTTCTACTTGGAGAAATTTACGAGGTTTATCCCTCAAAACTTTAAATACAATAAAGTTGCAAAAAATAGTTTACAACAACAGGAAATTTATTTTGAGTGTCTTCATAGTTTTATTTTGGAGATACAGCAATTTTTATATACTGCAGGAAAAACAAAAAACAATCCTATGATGCAAATTTGCAAAGAAAACAGCAGGTGCATCATTTCACTGTGGGAAGTGTTACGACCAGCTGATAGGAACGGCGAAGTGTGTTTCTGGAATATTATGTTTTTGTTCCTGCAAGCGCTTTTTATGCAATTTTTGCAAAGCTTTATGTGGAACGAAACCGTGACCGAGGACAAGCTGATGGCATCAGATGTAAGTACAACTCCTCCGGTTTCATATGCAAAACAAATTATTGCGCAAGCTTACACGGTTCAGGTTCTACAGGGATTTAAAAATAGTTACACAAAACTGAGCGTGCTGCTCTGACCGGCTTTAAAGGGTTAACAATGACTTTAAAAAATAATATAAAATAGTGTGCAACACCACTGAAGTTTTTTTTTTTTAAACTCTCTTTTCAACCAACGGCAGTCACTCTCCAAATAACTTCTGCTTAGCTTTCCGAGCTTCCCTCGGGTCCTCTTAATCAGCGGTCTCCACCCTTTTTTGCGCCACGGACCGGTTTATGCCCGACAATATTTTCACGGACCGGCCTTTAAGGTGTCGCGGATAAATGAGGGAGGGGCTAATAATCGGCTCAGTCATTTTTAATGATCGTTGAAAGCCCAGATCGTAATCGTGATTAAAATTCGATTAATTGAGCAGCCCTACTACAAAGCACAGGAATGTTGGCCTAACACAAACAGATAGGGACTGACATGATTTCTCTATCCCCAAAAGGGCCAAAAGTTTAATTTGAAGCTAAATATGTGGTACGATGCGCCCTGTGCTATGTGGAGAATTTCATGCTGGCCTTTAAACTCCCTAAAGCTGGTAAATAATATTAACCTAAAACTAAAACTGTGAAAAGATTTAATGGACACAATCATGAATATGGTTTACATAATAAACACATTTTCTTAGTTCTATTCAGATGTGTTTAATTGCAAAGAGAAACTCATCATAATTCAGGAAACACAGTGAAGTATGAACAGATGTGCAGAAAGACCAATTCAAACATGCAAACAGGTTTTATAGCTAACGCTGTTAGCATAATATTGCTGATAAGTAACAACTGGTATAATAAGTGGAACTTGCTATACTGAGTTTTCATTCCATGAGTAAAGGTAGTAAACTGGTGAAAGGGACTGTTTGGATCACAGCATTATATGAAGAACATATACAATAATACAAAACAAGTGTCATCTCATCTCACACATAATTTTTTGGGAGCTGCAAAAAAATCAGACTGCAAACAAAGAACATTACTTTGCAAAATATGCTACAAATCTGTTTGAACTAAAGGTAGAAACAAGCTGCTTGGATGGAAATTACTGGTGCAACTGCATGAAAAAGCAGGGCTTTAAACAAGTGGTTAAAAACTTAACCCAAGATACAACATACCAGCAAGATTCTTTTTCAAATTTCTAATTAGTTTAAATTTACTTATTTATTCTCTAATTTATTTGTTCTCTAATTTCCTATGTGACAATATCGTGCAGGCTCCCAAAGTTACACAGTAAGGGTACTTTAGTTCTTGTTTTTGTTAAACTAAAGTGTTAAGCAGTAATGTCATAGTTTTATTTAAACATTTCGATGGAAAACAGAACCTAGGCTATTTTGACTTATCCCATGTCACGGCGTATACTCTGCCGCTGGCACTGTTTGGTAATCAGTTCATACTTCATATTAGATAATCTGTCATCAGTGAGCTCTTTGGAAAATAGCTGATTGATGACATCAATAAATGCTGCTGCCTGCAATCACTGAAATTAACAATTTTTAAAAACATATAATTTTGAGGCTATATCACCCACACCTAGTTTATCTAAATATATTTATATAAAATATTTATTTTAATATACAACAGTCCAGTTTATTTTCCTCATAAGGAAGTTGCTGAAAATTAATACTACATGCAGGGGTGCACATAAGTGGTCCGCTGGCATTTGTTTGAAGCCAGCTCACCTCCTGCAACCACTTTTCCAAGAATACATGCTTCTTTTGCAGTTCGGACTCCTCCTGACGTTTCTTTGGAGGTGGAGGAACACCAAAGTAAAGGAGCTTCTTCGACATCTTTAAGAGCTCTAAACAAATGTCTGTCCTCCTCCAGAAAATCGTATGTATGCAAACGCGCGTTGCAACTTCTTATCTGGTGCGCGTCTTTTATTTTGACAGCGCATGCGCACCTACGGACCACTGACTATATGTAAAGGTTGACATCACACACACTTAGAGAGCAGTTGAGTGAGAACAAAGCTGGCTTGCAGGAAAATAATGTGAAGTGTAAGCTCAGAATCGAGGAGTACAGGCAGTGTGTTTTACCTGCAGATGCAGTATCTGGATCCCTGCCTTGGCGGTCTGCTTCTAGCCACCGGTGCAAAGCTAGAGGTGAACCACATGCAGCAAGACATGGAGCAAAAAACACAGAAAAAGAGCGCAATGTCATAATAAATGGACACAGAAAAGCAAATTAAATGCATGAAAATGAGGTAAGCATGAACATGACACAATAGATGATAGCATGCCATTAAGGATGCAACACACATGCTTCAAATGGAAGCGGTAACATTGTAAAACGACACTTTTTTCCTAATAAGGACTCGAACATTACAAAACAGAAACAAGAGATTCAACTAAAATGCTTAGATTCATGTTAGTGACCTCTTTTTGAAGCTGTCGGTGAAACTCGAGGTTCAGGGCAAGTGAGTAACACATTCTTTGGAGTCAAACCAAGCAGCATATCCAAAACACAACTACAGAAGCAGCAAGTGTACCATATTTATATTGCAGTCAAATAACTTTACCATTTTCACATAGAAGAGACCACAGAGATGACAGTTCATATCTGTAATGTAAATTTGACAGCGTATAAAAGTGACTGTCTGTTTAAGTGTTTTTCCCAAGAATTCTAAAGAGTGAAGTAGCGCCGATAGACGTGGTTAGTTGTTGTTGATTCACAAAAAGTGTCGCAGTAATTTATTTCAGTTATGGGTATATTTGGTGCTACAGATAGAGGACATAGAACATTAAGGAAAAGCTACAAAAACATAATCACTTTGACTACACTGCTTGCGCGCTGAAGGATATTATTGCATTGGAAGTCACAAAAGCCACCCAACACAGACGGCTCTGTGGTTCAGTGACCTGACACAATTTATACAGCTGGAGAAAATAAAGTATACTCTCAAGGGCTCGAAGGAGAGATTCTTTGCCGTTTGGGATACTTTGCTAAAACATTTAGAGAAAATTAAAACCATTCCCATCTGATACTCACTTGGCAGCTACCGTATACCCTTATTGTTGTGAAGGTGATTAATTTTGTGCAAACTATTGCCTTTTAAGTGCACATCTTTATATATGGTGAATGTTGATGTACCTCATTTAAATTTATTTTCTTTCTTTATTTCTTTATTTATTTTTCTGTCTCTCTGGATTGTGTATGTTCTTTGGGTGGGGTACATATATAAAAAGGAGCATTGTGACTTTGTTACACGTATATCTTTGAATTACATTCTTGACGCTCAATAAAAAAAAAAAAAAAAAAAAAAATATATATATATATATATATATACATATATATATATATATATATATATATAAGGGGTGCAACGATATTCGTATCGATATTGAACCGTTCGATACAGTGCTTTCGGTTCGGTACGCATATGTATCGAACAATACAACATTTGTAATTTATTTTATCAACTTTCCTTCTGACGATGCTGTCTGTGTTGAGCGCTCAGTGAATCTGTGTTCGACTACTCCGCCTAGGCTGCACTGTCGAGCGCAGATCCACTGAGCGCTCAACACAGACAGCATCGTCAGAAGGAAGAGCGCAGGGCAAGCTAGCAAGACAGAAGTTAAGCTCTCCTTGCAACATGGACCTCCCCCACCCTCATTCAGATCTGGCGTTTGGAATTATTTTGGTTTTCATGTGACGTATGACCCTGAAGGTAAGCGAGTCATGGACTAAAGTAAAACAGTATGTTGGATGTGCCATGCAATGCTCAATTACATAGGTGGGAACTAGTGTGTTAGCGCAGTTAGCTTGTTAACGTGTTGGCCGTCTAGCCCCATGCACGGGGCGATCGGCGGTAGCTCGTTAACGGAGATTTGCCGTGTTGTGGCGTTAAGGTCATTTCAACGAGATTAACCTGAAAGCACTAGTGGGAACACAACGAATATGACTGCACATTTACATCATCCTAGTGCAAAGACAAAAACAACAAGCATGCTACTAACTTTAGCCGAGTCATTTAGACAGCTGTTAGCACGTGATTCTCCTTATGCTGCTGAGAATATAGCCCAGAAGAAGCGGATAGTATAGCTTTTATTTTGGAAAGAGGCATTTCTCTGTAATAAACTCTCTTTTCCAAAGATGAGTGATTCCTCAATCAGATACAGGGCTCGCAAAATCGCTAGCCCGACGTCCTGGGGCTAGCGATTTTTTTTCAGACGGGCTACCCTGCCCGTCGGGCTATTGTAGGAAGGAAAAATCTATGTCAATGCTTTTGCATTCTTTCGGAAATGTAGCTGGGTAATTATGTCATTGGCATCGGTGAGCCACTGCCAATATGTGACATATTGAAATCGCGTTTGAATTTGCGCTTGTTTTTTTGCTTTCACTTTGCAATCACGCGAACTGTGTATAGAGAGCGACAGCACTGATCTGTGAGTGATGATAATTTGTGCACCAATTCCTCTGACATCGTCTTATTAATCGTTAGCTTACTATGCAAACATGACAAGTGAAATCTCCCGCAGCAAGCTTAAACATGTGAGAGGTTGATCGCGCAGAGAATCGCTGAGCTTATGTGAGTGCGTGTGTAAAAGCAGCAGGATATATATTGTAGTGGATCAGGGCTGTTCGGGGTTCTGTTTGTACAGTTATGTTTTGTTTATGTTGCCATAGTGACGGGTGACGCCCTCTCGCTGCGACGGTGTGTCCTTCCGGGGTCAGACGGCGCCCTGTGTGTTGTTGTTGTTGTTGTTGCTGTGCTGTTGCCGCGCTGAGCAGTTAGCTAGCGGCAGTGTTCTTCTGCAGATGTCAATAAACGGCTGTGCTCCCTGGCTAGCTCACGGGAAGCAAGACCAAACGATACCTCCGTCTCCTCCTTGTCTGAGCTCGCCACAATATTTTAGTTCTGCTGAGCCAAATAAGACGGGTCAGGGTGAAGAAGTGACAGCCAAAGAAAAACTTACCACAAAACGGAAAAGTTATGACAAATCAGACTATAAGGCAAAAAGAAAGTGCAGCTTTATGGTTTCATGGACAAAAGAATTTCTGTGGCTGCAATATGACGAGCTAAATAACCAGGGCTGCACATAAGTGGTCCGCAGGTGCGCATTCGCTGTCAAAATAAAAAACGGGCACTAGATAAGAAGTTGCAACGCGTGTTTGCATACATAAGATTTTCAGGAGGAGGACAGACATTTGTTTAGAACTCTTAAAGATGTCGAAGAAGCTCCTTTAAGCAATTACTGTGATGTTCCTCCACCTCCAAACAAATGTCAGAAGGAGTCCGAACCACAAAAGAAGCACGTATTCTCGGAAAAGTAGTTGCAGGAGGTGAGCTGGCTTCAAACAAATGATGAACGCACAGAGATGTGGTGCGGAATGTGCCGTGAAAATTTAATAAATGACAAATTAAAAAGGCATGAACATTTTTTTTGTATCGAAAAAATATCGAACCGTGACACCAAAGTATCGAACCGAACCGTGAATTTTGTGTATTGTTGCAAAAAAACGTTTTGTTTTTTTTCTGTATTAAAAAAAACTTGTATTAAAATGTTCAGGATGAGGTCAACATCGTCATCCTTCTGTTTGATTCTTCAGCCATTTTGCTTTGAGCCCGACTGTGCAGGGAATGAAGTTTCTGCTACAGAAGCCACAGGTATGGGCTCAAAATGTGGTCATAAATATTTTGTACTTGTAAATCAGTTTTGTATGTGTAAAAAAGATTTGTGTGTGCGTAAAAGATTTGTGTGTGGACTTAGCCAAAAAAACTGCAAGTTACAAGTACGAATTTTGACCCTATTTTTCTTCCTTTCATCTGATTGGTCAATGTCATTTCAATCACAAATGTAACAATCCAATCAGAGAACAGATGGGTTTGGCTCTCGGAGGGGTCAGTCTTCATTACAAAGCTTTCTTCGTTATGAATTAGCATACATGTTTTTATTGAACATTTGAAGAACCAGCAAAAAAAACAGAAACTCTTGTAGAGGACATAAAGTCAGAGATAGAAACGACAAGGAGCAGGTGCATCTAGTACAGGTAGAGCTGCTGCAAAAACCCACAGAGCCCAGCAGCCAGCGTAACAAATTCTGGATCCTTTGCTTTTAGTTAGCATTAGCAGCACATCCTGCATCTGGACTTTCATGCTGCGCACTGTGACTCACAGCAATGGTCCCGGGTCAGCCCTGACTTTGTGTTAAACTAATCCTAAAGTAATAATGGTATTTCTAACCACTGATATAGCACAACTTTTTCCTTTCAACAGCTGCTGAAAGTTAGGGGACCTAGCTGCTATCAGATATTTATATAGAGATCCTCCAGCTTCAAACTGTATTACCCTTCAAGGACCTGCAGTTCAAAAAAGCGCCCCCCCCCATCCCCCCGACAGCCAAACCCATCTGTTCTCTGATTGGATTGTTACATTTGTGATTGACATGACATTGACCAATCATAAGTCCACACACAAATCTTTTTTTACACACACACAAATCTTTTTTACACACACAAATCCTGATTTACAAGTACAAAATATTTATAAACCACATTTTGAGCCCATACACAGGTTGTTTATAAAAATGTGTAAAAATACAACAAACTTTTACATTTTATATTTTAATGAAATCAGATTTAGTGAACGATAATCTTACTTTGGTTACCTAAAACTAGACTAAAGCTAAAATAATTTAGATGCCTAAATTATTACTAAAACTAAATTACATTTTAGTCAAAAGACTATGACTAAAAGAAAATCAAAGTTTGCTGTCTTCTAGCATGCCTTCTTAAATCTCTGCTGCTTTTTTAAAGACGTTTTTGGCGTTAAAGTTTTGCCGTTAAACACAACATTAATAAACCAGTTTGCACAATTCAGTTCTCCTCCTGATATTTTGGCTTGCTAAAGGAGTCCCCATATCTGCAAACTTGTCACTACACTCACTGTAAATACCAACAGCACTTTTTTCCCCAACAAATAATTTGCACTGACGCAACATTCTAGCAGATCTACTAAGGTTGGAAATTATATTGGATCACAGATTAGAGGAGGCACTTTTGTAAATTAGCTAAGTTATTATGAATTAGCTCATCTACAAAGTTAACACAAAACAACAGATTAAAACTGACATCAACTAGGCCAGGCATGTCCAAA